GTGATGATCACGAAAGGACAACAAAAAAAACAACAACAATGGGAAGCCTTGAAAACCCTCGCAGAACGGGTCCTGCGCATATCGGTAAGTCAGCCCCTGGGCCGTGTTTTTCCCGTACTGCATGTTTTAGCTTGAGTTTGAGTTGAGCCGAGCTGAGCTGATGGTGTGTGGGTTTCGCAAAACCACAGGGGAGCACTTCACGCCTACCATCCATCATGACACGTACCCGGCCATTGATGTCTCGCACAGCGTGGGCATGGTGGGCAAGCACGTCTTTCTGACGGGAGCGTCACGAGGCATTGGCAAGTCCATGGCCCTCGCTTACGCCAAGGCTGGAGCCTCGATCATTGGCATCTCAGCCCGTTCGGATCTGGGGTCGGTCAAGAAGGAGATCGAGGACGCTGCCACCTCGGTCGGTCGCGAGGTGCCCAAGGTGGTCACGGCCAATATGGACGTGTTGGACCCGGAGAGCGTGCAGCGAGCCGTGGAGAAGATGACGCCGGATTTTGACGGGCGGCTGGACATCGTGATCAGCAACGCAGGCTACATGGAACCTTGGACCAACATGATCGAGGCCGACGTTCAGGAGTGGTGGCGGTCCTGGGAGGTCAACATCCGCGGGCAGTTCGTCACCTGGAAGGCCGTGTTGCCGTTGCTTCTAGCCGACGACTCGAGCCTCAAGACGATCGTCAACATGTCGAGCATCGGCGCGCAAATGTGCGTCCCTGGAGCCAGTGCGTACCAGACGACCAAATTCGCACTGTTGCGCCTGACCGACTTCCTCAATGTCGAGTACGGCGCCCAGGGCGTGATTGCGTACTGCATGCACCCGGGTGCCGTGCCCACAGAGCTGTCTTGGAAGATGCCCGACTTTGTCAAAGTCAACCTGATTGACACACCCGAACTCATGGCCGACACGGTCGTGTACTTGACGCAGAAGCGGCGCGAGTGGCTGCGGGGCCGGTACCTGTCGTGTAACTGGGACATGGCTGAACTGGTGGACATGCAGGATGAGATTGTGGAGACGGACAAGCTGAAGATGAGAATGGTAGTTTAGATCACACAGCCATATCGGCATAGGATCAGATGTGAGGGTAGCCCATGTCTGAATGAGATGAGATGGACAAGATGGACAAGATGGACAACTTCTGTACTCGTTCGTACATATCAATTGTCTGGTCCCGACTCGAGTCGACTCCCGACTAGTTCTCGATTAGCTGGCTGGTGATTCAATACGACAAGGTTGCTCTTCCTTTGTTCTTTTCTTCCTTTGTGACCCTATTCCTATTCGTATCAGTACCAGTAGGTATGGAGGACCTACCTCGACGTCAACATAGCAATCATGTTTGCCCACTCCACAGTGATCGTGAGCCACACCCCCTAAAGATACATAACCTGCCTGCAAATCGACGTAAAGTCGAACCCGTTCCCCTTTCACCGTTCATGTTCATGCTCGATGACGTCGAAAGAGGACGGGCCTCGAGGCCAAGCGAGAAGTTGTCAGAGGTCATTGGTGGTCATTGTTGGTGTGTGTTTCACTCACCCACTCCCCACCCGGGTATCAAGATGACAGAACGGGGAGTGATGGTGGGAAGGGAGGTGTGGACAAGAGTTGATTTTCCCATGTTCTTTCCCTCTCGTACTTTGACACATGCCGGTTCCAGTTTTCTTTTGTCCCATGTGTGAATCCACAGCGATGATCGAGGGGTAGGATGAGGGGGAGTATTGTGTTGTCTTTGTTTACTCGGGTCCGGTCCACACACATAAACCCACACATCCACATACACAGGTATCGCGAGATCGGTCGGTCGGGTTAGGTCTTGTCTTGCAGCATCACTATTGGGAGTGGTTGGTTGGTTGATGGTCGAATGATCGAATGATCGAATGGTCGAATGGTAGGTAGATGGGTGAGTAAAGTGTGTAGGTGGGTAGGTAGAGATATCAATGGAACGGCCCTTGCCCTTATCCTTGTCCTGTCCTTGGACTAGCAGTGGCTGGCTATCGAATGGCTTTGTTGAGTTCTTGCTGGATCGCCTAAACCAAAGAAAGCACCAGAGGGGCAAGATGAGGTTTGTGTGCCTTGTAGCGTTTACCCAGTACTTGATTCTGTCCTGTTTAGAGAATATGTAAACACTGGAAAATCCTGTTGTCACTACTGTTTCTCAAGCTTTCCCCTTCCTTCCAGGCCGAGCATTGAGATGTTTTGGTGATCTCGATATCTATCTATCTACCTGCCTGCCTACCCATCCATCCATCACCTAATGTCATAAGAACTCGTGACAGCACAAAGACCGGGAAACAGTGATTAATCAAAACAGCAAACCAGTACCCAGTCTTTACCACTATATTTCTATCGCGGAAGATATGGCCTCTGCCGATGCGGTGGTGGTCGACAAGGCTGCATCGCCAAATCCAGGCGCCTCCCCTGCGACCCCAGCAACGACGACAACGACAACAGCACCAGATAACAAAAAGCTCAGACTGTCGTGCGACAACTGTCACGCAGCAAAGGTCAAATGCACAAAGGAACGTCCGCTGTGCTCGAGGTGTGCCAACTCGGGCGCCTCGTGCATCTACTCGAAATCACGACGAGCAGGGAAGCCCAAGGGTTGCGGCAAAAAGACTGGCCCGTTTGGCAACAATAAATTGCAAAACACCACGCCCGAGTTCTGCAGTCGACCCGAGTCTCCTCTGTCAGACGCGCGCATGAGCATCGACTTTGACGATGCGTCGTGGAACGTCGACATCCCCGGCAGCCGCCGAGATTCAGTCCTCGACCAGAGTTTCACGACTCTGCAGTCCATGGCTGAGACGACTGGTGTTTCGCTCGATCCGACACTGACACAGACATTCACGCACTCGACCATGGACACCGACGACTTTTCCGCCTCTGCCGCAGCCTTCTCCACCGGTAACCTCTTCTCGGGCGACATCCAGATGTCGCCCGAGTGGATGTCCGGCATGGATGCAAATACTGCTCAAGTCCCTTTTGCCACGGAGGGCATGACCGTGGCGTCGGCCAACATCATGCTCTACCCAGAGTTCAGCTGCTCCGACACAACCACGCTCAACGATGACGGCTCAAACTCCGGAATCACCAGCACGGCCCCTTCGTGCAACTGCATGGCTTCGTTACAGGACATCCTCAGCGCGCTCAACGGCACGATGCCCTCGTTTGACAAGTTCCTGGCTATCAACAAATTAGCCGTCCAGCGCATGGCCCAGAGTCTAGCCTGCCACTGCTTGCCGGATATCTCGTCTGTCATGATCCTCTCCGTCATCATCACCCGCATCGTGCAGTGCTACAAGAAGATCCGCAACGGCGAGTGCCAGGGGTGCGATGAGGTTGGCGTCACCATGGGGTCATTGAAGATGGACAGCGAGGACGAATACCAAATCAAGATGGTGCTGATTCGCTCCGAACTGCGCAAGATCAAGTCGCTGGTCACTCGGTTTCGCGATCGTTTCGAGAGTTTCCTCCAAGGGGCCGATCGGCAGCTCTATGAGGCAAACATGGCGTTTCTGGAATATGGGCTGGATGACACCATCAAAGGGCTTTGACCAGTTTTGAATAATCATCCTGAATTATGAGATGTGGTGTATCCTCCTCCTCCTCCTCCTCCTTCTTCTACTTCTTCTATTTCTATTTCGCACGGCTCAAGTAAGGCCAGATCTTGACTGCATCATAAGGAGCTGGGTGTTGTCTGGGTAATAGGAGGGTATCACGGCACGATAAGCAACAAGGCTGATTATCATTTCCGGTTCTTTCCTCTTACTCTGGGGTGTGCCTTGTGTCTCTGTTGTCAATGATGATCATGACGACTGATGATGGCCTCTCTTCCTCTCTCTCTATTTTGGACGGACATTTGCTTGTGAACATTGTCAGGGTGTGGATGGATCGTGACTTGAAGACCACCTGCAGTTTCACCGAAGAAATACCAAATCTTGATAAATCCTATGTTCCTCCGCCACGCAGGAGACCTCAGATTTCACGAGTCTTCAGAGGTGGACGGAGAGGTAGACGGGAAGTCGAGGCCATGGTCAGCAAGTTGGACGGTAGGATCTGAGCCACGGAGGAGACACCAATTGAGACGAGGCAAGTTGAGGAAGGGTGGCGGCGATCCGAGGAGATAGTAGGCGGAGAAGGGAGGCTGATGGCTAGGTAAGGAAGAGAAGAGTAGTGATCGACGGTTCCGAATTCCTTTGGTCTACCTGAGTATGTATGAAGCTTGCGGGTGACGGGTCCATTGTCAAAGGCGGGGTCTTTCGCCCAAGGCACTTTGGAGGCTTCCTCTCTAGGATGAGCCGTAATCCCCTAGAGGCCCCACTTAGTCCCGGTGGCTCGACCCGCATCCCGCTCGAGGTGCTGCTTCAGCCTCTTCGCGCCTGTTTTGCGGTCCACGTATAAGTACTCGTACAAGGTACTCAATATATATACCGAGTCACTCGTGTCAGAGCCTCTCTTCGCCTCAGCGCCCTGTTTCTCAGCATGCAATAACCGTCAACTCTTGTCACCTCATTGGCCCGACTGCGTTGCTTTAGCGCAGACTAGCTTGTAGGGAGGCAAGGCTACAACAACAACGCATGACCATCGAATGTGGTTCTTTGCTTCTTTTTGGCACCATGCATGGACCTTTGGCGACTTATTGGCGAGGCCTTTGCCTAAGCCACTCTTCAGGCTGGCCAGAGATTTCTCCCTGTTCTCACCTGTTTCAACTTCATTGCAAAGCTTTCGATATACGTACTAGAGATTGCTTCCAAGCATCTTGCCCTTGGCTATGTGGGTTTTGGACGTCTTTCGAGTCACCGCGGGTCCAAGTGAACCGTGTACTCCAAGACCTCTAGGGGACATTGCAAGACGACATCTATCTCAGTATCTCGATCCGCCCACTCGAGTTCGCAAGAGAATTGAACGTCCAAGCACTCTCTGTGGATGTCTGATCACATAGCCTAAACTTATCTGTCGAGCCTTCCCACCTCACGAGATACACATTCCCACGATGCATCTCCTCAAAATTGGCCCTCATGGTGAGGTCAGCCTTACCGACAACTTGATCACAGACATTCCGCCCTACGCCATACTCTCACACACATGGGGCTCGGATAATGAGGAGGTGACTTTCAAGGATCTAAAAGATGGATCAGGCCAGTCGAAGGCGGGCTATACCAAAATCCGGTTCTGTGCGGACCAAACGCAAAAGGACGATCTGCAATATTTCTGGATCGATACATGTTGTATCGATAAGACGAACCTCGTCTCTCTCGCAGAATCAATTGTGTCAATGTTTCGGTGGTATCAAGACGCGCAAAAGTGCTATGTGTTCCTGTCTGATGTTTCAGCTCAGAAACGCGACAACACAGGAAATGTTCACATCTGGGAATCCACCTTCCGGACAAGCAGGTGGTTCACCCGGGGCTGGACGCTACAAGAACTCCTTGCTCCGAGACAAGTCGAGTTCTATTCTCGCGAAGGTGTACGACTGGGTGACAAAACTACGCTTGAGCGGACCATCTCCGAAATAACGGGAATCCCTGAAACAGCTCTTCGTGGGAGACCTCTTCGAGAATTCACCCCTCAGGAGCGGATGCGGTGGGCATCCGGACGCGAGACAAAAAGGACAGAAGATAAGGCATACTGTCTCTTGGGAATTTTCAATGTGTCTATGCCAGTTATTTACGGCGAAGGAGACAAAGCCTTTGACCGGTTGAAAAACAAAATTGCTAAAGAGCATCGGAGGGAGTTGGATGGTATTGAGCAAGTTCCTCTTCTCTCGTCCTCCAAGAACCTTGTTGCGCCCCCATGTGGGACAACTACGACTCTTCCAGAGAAAGAAATACGTATTGACCGTCGAAAGACGATGCTGGCCTCCCTCGGCTTTGAGCAAATGGAGTCCCGTCAGTCCTCTATCAAAAATGCCTATTCTACTACCTGCCAATGGCTGTTGAAACATCCGGCTTATGTGAATTGGATTGATCCACAGCAGATACATGAGCACCGTGGGTTTCTATGGATCAATGGGAAGCCGGGGGCTGGGAAGTCGACTCTGATGAAGTTCGCTCTTTCACAGGCTTACAAAGGGACATCTGAGGGGGAGATTCTTCTTTCCTTCTTCTTCAATGCTAGAGGAGACCAACTGGAATACTCAACAGCCGGCTTGTACCGAGCTCTACTATTTCAACTCCTTACAAAGATTCCTAACCTCCAGGATCTGCTGGATGACCTAGACGCACTAGAAGATCGAAGCGAATCTTCGATGTGGACAAGAGAAAAGCTGTGTGAACTTTTATCTACAGCTGTCACAAGACTCGGCGACCGGCGACTAACCTGCTTCATTGACGCCCTCGATGAATGTGAAGAACAACAGATTCAAGAAATGATCATCTTCTTCGAAGAGCTAGGACAGGATGCGCTCCATTATGGAACCCAGCTCTACATTTGCTTCGCTAGTCGCCACTACCCGACGATCGACATTCAGTACGGTCGACAGCTGACATTGGAAACAGAAGACGGTCATGCTGAGGATCTGGGGAAATATGTCCAGAGTCATCTCCGAGCTGGAAAAGCGAAGTCAGTTGAGAGGATTAGAACACAAATACGAGAAAAGGCCAATGGTGTCTTCCTGTGGGCGGTTTTAGTCGTTCCAATGCTCAACGACGAATTCAGGCGCGGACGTATTTGGGCGGTCCAGAAAAGGCTCGAAGAGATACCTGCTAGGCTCAGCGACCTCTTCAAAGAGATCTTGAGTAAAGACTCTGTCAACATGAATGATTTGTTGCTCTGTCTCCAATGGGTCTTGTTTGCAGAACGGCCGCTGCGGCGAGAAGAGTTCTACTTTGCAATGACGGCCGGTCTCGCTCCTGATTCTGAGTATATGACCGCCTGGGAGTCTGATTGGATTACTGAAGACGACATGAACCGATTTGTGCTCAGTTCATCCAAGGGTCTTGCAGAACTTACGAGGTCGAAACCGCCGACAGTGCAGTTCATTCACGAATCAGTGCGAGACTTCCTCCTCAAGGATAAAGGCCTCTCGGAGCTGTGGCCGGATCTCGAGAAGGGAACCACCTTGACCACCTCTGAAGGGAAAAGCCACGAATGCCTAAGGCAATGCTGCTTGAACTATCTCAGCATCGATGTTGCCAGCCACCTGGATAACGTGGACAAATTGCCGAAGGCATCGACGGAAGAAGCTGCGCGCCTCCGCCAATGTGTCGGCGAAAAGTTTCCGTTCCTAGAGTACGCGGTACGAAATGTTTTGTGGCACGCCGACAAGGCACAAGCCAAGGAGGTTGACCAGAGTGAATTCATCCGCACGTTTCAGCTCGCCAGATGGGTATGGCTTGCGAACCTGGTCGAAAGACACGAAACACGCCGGCACACTCAGAAGGTGACCTTGCTATATATATTGGCGGAGAACAACTTGTCCAGCCTGATCAGAGTTCACCCATCCAATTTGTCATGCTTCGATGTCGAAGGTGAACGTTATGGGCCCCCGATCTTCGCAGCCCTGGCTACTGCAAGCGACGAAGCAGTGCAAACCTTCTTGCAAATTCAGGTAGATGCCCAACCCACAACATCTCTTCTTCGTGTCATCTACGACCAATATTGTCATTCTGGAAACAAGCCAAACCATTTTCCACGCACCTTCACTTTCTCACAACGAAAAGGAATTTTCAATGCACTCATAGACCATGACGATGATATCCTTCTTGCATTCTTCTGTGCTTGCAGCAAGACGGCCCTCAAGCAGATCGGCAGGGATGTTGAGGTGCCAATTATCTGGGCAGCCAAGAAAGGGCACGTGGCGATGGTGAAGCTACTACTCGAGCGTGGTGCCAACGTTGAATCTGAGGATCGTTGGGGTCAGACACCACTATCGCTAGCGGCTGGGAGCGGGCACGAGGCGACCGTGAAGCTACTACTCGAGCATGGTGCTAATATAGAATCTAAGGATTCTATTCGGACACCACTATCGTTCGCGGCTGGGAACGGGCACGAGGCGATAGCGAAGCTACTACTCGAGCGTGGTGCCAACGTTAAATCTGAGGATCGTTGGGGTCAGACACCACTATCGTTCGCGGCTCAGAACGGGCACGAGGCGATCGTGAAGCTACTACTCGAGCATGGTGCTAATATAGAATCTAAGGATTCTATTCGGACACCACTATCGCTAGCGGCTGGGAGCGGGCACGAGGCGATGGTAAAGCTACTACTCGAGCATGGTGCTAATATAGAATCTAAGGATTCTATTCGGACACCACTATCGTTCGCGGCTGAGAACGGGCACGAGGCGATCATGAAGCTACTACTCGAGCATGGTGCTAACGTTGAATCTAAGGATTGTTATAGTCGGATACCACTATCGTTCGCGGCTAAGAGCGGGCACGAGGCGATGGTGAAGCTACTACTTGATAATGGCGCGGATCGAGAATCTAAGGACAAGCATGGTCGGACACCACTATGGCATGCGGCTCAGAACGGGCACGAGGCGATCGTGAAGCTCCTACTCGAGTATGGTGCTAATATAGAATCTGAGGATTCTGGTCGGACACCACTATCGATCGCGGCTGAGAAAGGGTACGAGGTAGTAGTAAAGCTACTACTCGAGCATGGTACTAATGTAGAATTTGAGGATTATGGTCGGACACCGCTATCGTTAGCGGCTGAGGGTGGGCACGAGGTAGTAGTAAAGCTACTACTTGACGACGGCGCGGATCGAGAATCTAAGGATTATGTAGGTAAGACACCACTGATTTGGGCGGCTATAATTGGGAACGAGCAGGTAGTAAGGCTCCTACTCGAGTATGGTGCCGAACGATATGCTAAGGACAAGTATGGTAAGACACCACTACAGTATGCGATTCAGAACAAGCTCGAAGGCGTCGTCAAGCTACTCATGTCTTACCAGGGAGAAGGGCCACCACTGTCCCCAGAGGAGCAGTCAACAGGATCGGAGTCGAGTACTACGACTCCACAAGCAGAACCCTCAGAGGCTCTTCCCGTTGAGCAGTCAGGGCCATGAGACAGGTATGCGACAGGCGCGGAAGGTTGGGTGGATGGATGCCAATGGGCACAGACAGAATCAGAGGCAGAGGCAGAGGCAGTGGCATGGGGAGTCGATGATGGAGACGGACAGATACACATCTGAAGGATATGGATGTACAAGTACTTTGGAGGACCCATCAGTCTCCACGCCTCCCTCTCAGAGATGATATTTGTCTCTTGTCTCCAAGCTCCGTCTTGATCTGACCTGGTTCAGACACCAACTCAACTCAACTCAATCAATGCACCTCGGTCCACACGGGAGAGCGGGCGACAAAGTCTTTCCAGGTGGTGAGTGGTTCGTCGACGATCTGGCGGGCAAGCAAGGAAGGAGGCAGAGAGATTCGCGTTAGCCATCTCCCAACGAAGACGAAATGAAAATGAAAATTGAGGGGGGAACAGGGAAGAAAGAGTAGGGAGCAGAACGGGAGAAAAGGGGCAGAAGACTCACCGCATGGCTCTCGGTGAGATCGGCACCGCCGTAGTACCCAAACTGGGGCATCAGCAGCATATTCTGGAGCATCTCGTCCTGGATGGGCTCGGGCATGCCCTTTGCGGCGAGGACCTTCTTGAACGCCTCTTCGGGCACCTGGCGCGCCGCGCCGCCCTGGCCGTCGCGCGTCTTGACGGCTTGGAACTCGGCCAGGATCTGCTCCGGCGTGTAGTACGCCGTGGCGCCGTAGATGCGGCGGCCCAGCACGCCGTCGTCGCGGTGGACGAGGATGGCTTTGACGAATTTACCCGTGTCGTGCTCGGCGTCGAACAGGGGGATGGGCGAGTCCGTGGGGATCGGGAGCGCAAAGTTGTATGGGCCTTGCATGTTGTTCAGGCTCTGGCCGGGGATGTTGGACATGTAGAAGCCCGGCATGAAGAAGGTGGCCGGGATGTCGAGCTCGCGGATGTATTCTTCCACCTGGGCCTTGGAGTCGAAGTGGGCGACCTTGGAGAGTTTGCCGCCCGAGACTGTTTATCATTAGTTAGCTGTCTGTAGTTCGGAATATGCCCATGCCTCAGGAAATATGGAGGAGGGGTGACTCACGCTTGGTGACATTCATCAGACTGCTCCAGATCAAATGCTGCACACCACACTCCTTGGCCGCGTCGGCAATGTTCTTTCCCTGCTGGATCTCGGCCGCCGCCGTCTTCTTCTCCCAAAAGTTGGTCACGGCGTACACGGCATATGCACCCTGGAGAGCCCGGACGAGAGTCTCCTTGTTGTCAAGGTCGGCCTGCAAGTAGAATCATCTCAGTTATCCTTACTCACTCATTTCCCTCCCTGATGGGGTCCTCTTACCGAAACACACTCGCACCCCAGCCGGGTCAATTCCTGCGCGGCCGGCTTGGATGGGTCTCTGGTGATGGCGCGGATCGAAAACATCGAGGCCGTCTTGGGATCGCCCAGCACCGACTTGATGACGGAGCCGCCTTGCTTGCCCGTGGCGCCAAAGACCACCAGCACCTTTTTGGTGTGGCCGTTGGTATGGCCGTTGGTGTGGGTGCTGGACATCTTGGAGCGGATGCTATCGATAATGCCCATGGATATGAACTAAAGGCGTGGAAGACTCTAGAAATATAGTCTGGATGTTTGAAGCGGGATAGTGAGAGACGATTGACAGATGAAATAACTCCCCATCTTGCAGCCGACGTGCTTTTGGGGTTTTAAATATCGCCATGGTGGGTGATGACATGTGTACAAAAGGAGACCTCTTTGCCATGCCTTGTGTCGTCCTCTTCAAGCTGGTATCGGGTTTGGTGCGACCCCTTGCGTCGAAGATCGCGCACTGACAGATGCTTGATGATGTATTGAGCGGCTTCTTCGGCGTTCGGCAAAGATCAACCCTTGTTATGAGTCCCTGAGAAGGTCCTGTTAAGGTATTACAAAGTCAGTGTCGGACCAATCGGAGTGAGTCTTCGGTCAACGACCATGAAGCTCTACAAATGATCCCTGGGTGTTCGATCTCGGATGACCAAAAGGAAAGTGTGTTGCGACATCCTGTTAAGAACGAACGAAGAGTAGCTAAAGCGTCGACATGATGCTATACGAAGAGATTGGGAAGTTTTGCCCTTCATTTGCCCTTACGCTACATACAGCTTAGAGTAGAGACGTCTACCTCATTCAGCCACCATGACTTTTACGGTTCGAGAACCAGTCCCCATGTCCCGTCTGGATGGCAAGGTGGCCATCGTGACGGGCTCTGGACGAGGCATCGGTCGCGGCATCGCCATCGAGCTGGGGAAACGTGGCGCCAATGTCGTCGTCAACTACTCCCGAAGCTCCAAGCACGCCAACGATGTGGTCGGCGAGATCGCAGCCAACGGCTCCCAGGCAATCGCCATTCAAGCCGACATCTCCAGACCAGAAGAGATCGCGCAGCTGTTTGAAAAGGCCCTGGCGCACTTTGGCCACGTCGACATTGTCGTGTCCAACTCCGGGCGCGAGCACTTTGGCAGCATCGACCAAATCACGCCCGAGGCCTTCGACCAGGTCTTCGCCCTCAATACGCGCGGGCAGTTCTTCGTCGCGCAGAACGCGTACAAATTCCTCCGAGAAGGTGGCCGTCTGATGATGATGTCGTCCATCTCGGCCCACGTCGGCATGAAGGAGCATGCCCTCTACGCCGGCAGTAAGGTGGCCGTCGAGGCCTTTGGGCGCTGCCTGACCAAGGAGTTTGGACACAAGAAGATCACTGTCAACGTCATTGCGCCCGGTGGCGTCGACACCGATATGGCCGCCGAGGCGGGCTGGAAGTATATCCCGGGGGCGAATCCGTCGTGGACGCCCGAGGACATTTCGAAGTGGGTAGCGGCACGAAACCCGCTGGAGAGGACGGGCAAGCCGCAGGACATTGCGCGAGTGGTTGCGTTTCTGGCCAGCGAGGATGGGGGTTGGATCAATGGTGAGTGTTTGACCCTTGCTTAAGACTATCCGCATAGTGTGCAAAGTAGAGAAGCTTACATCTCCGTCTAGGGCAAACAATCACCATCTCAGGGGGGGCATTAGCTTAGGTTATGGAAGAGCGATTATGCTCGCCAGTCTGGTCATGTATCTCGTATGAAGGACCCAACACCCACATCACATCCACATACAGAATAGATCTTCTCGTGACCGTGAATCGCAGCCGTTAAACAAATAGTGTACAATTTTACACTTGATCAATTCCTATTCCTCCTTTAGCCACTCGTCTGCACAGAACTGCGGCTGCACTAGCCTAGACAGATTGCCTTTACCAGTGAGACCTATGAACCCCCTTGCAGCGCAGTAGAGGTAAGAGGTAACGCCGATCTACCATCTCGATGCGCGGCGAGTGTTGCTTCCCGATAAGAAGCTACTCAGATCACCGAGATCTCGAACAATCAACGTGCACATCGCATACATCGCCGTGGAGGCCCTGATCCACTTTTTGTGACGACCTTCCTGCAGGGGAAGACCACCGATCGTCTGCCGAGGATTTCAACGCTTGTTACACACGTGTACCTACATACGGACACGCCAAACGGTGACCGAAGCGAGGCTGGCCGTGAGGCAGTGGAGAACCACCCGACCCGCCACGTCGATCGCTATGACATTGAGTATTACAGTGCCGACTTGATAAAACACGGGTTGCGCCTCTCCTTGGGACTCAACAGTGCCGCATTTCACCTGGTTGGAAAGAATCCCATTTGGCTTGTTCTTGTGTTTCTAATTCGAACCTTCAAAATATCGACTGCCATCTGCGACAATGGGCTCGATCGGATCCATGAGCCCGATAGGCAAAGAGAGAATCACTTTTGATGGTGAGTTTTCGACCTTCTTGAAGGGATTCTGGGGCCATGATTGGCTTTGTTGTGGCTGCAGATGACTGATCTGGGCGAGATAGAGTGGCTTGATTGCAGTGGCGTGCTGTACGAGTGGGCGGACTGCTATGATAACAAGGTACTGAAATACTCACTTACTCCCCGTTCACGAAAGTTTCCTGTGTTGATTGTCAGGGGGTTGAAGACTAACGAGCAAGCAGAACTGGTACGGGTTGATGGACATTATCGCCCCGACACTCACGGTATGACCATCACCTCTGTCACTCTCCATCCCTCTCTTCGTCCACTCTTGGAAAGGCATAAAAAAACACACACACTAACACCACCCCCAATGAACCGGGGATTGTTTGGTGTCCAGATCGACTACGACAAAGTCAACAACGCGAAATTCACCGACCTCCCCGCCGAGAAGTACATCGCGATGATGAGCGACCCGCTGTTCCTGGGCGACGAGCTCGTCGCGTCGCAGCACCTGATCGGCGCGACCAAGTGGGAAAAGGTGTCGGACGTGGAGATGGTGTCGCACCACCAGTCGCGCGCGGCGCACCAGCGGTTCGAGGACGTGCGGCGCAGGGACGTCGCCGTCAAGGGCCACGGCCACGGTACCGTCACCACCTTCTACAAGAAGATCGACGGGCAGTGGAAGTGGGCGGGCATCAAGACAAAAGTCATTTGGAACGAGTTTGATTTCGAACACGTCTTTCGCGGTGCGGCAGGGAAGGAGTAGTTCTCGTACCATATCATACCAGACCAGTAAAAATGGGAAATGCGGGATGCAAGTGGTTCGCATACGGGTCATATTATCACCTGTGTCGTGGTCACCTCGTACAAGTCCAAAGGGTGCGCTGATGGTGGTGGTGATGGGACGACGATGGCATTGCTAGGCAAAAAGGGAGTTGGGCGTGGCGGGGAAATAAAAGGGGAACTGCTTGGCGCCCCACTCTCCCATTCACCCCCCCTGGTTGAGCTCAGCCTCGTCCAGCCCACCATCACTACATACTGATTGTCAGGCTCAATCCCAAGACTTCTCTTCCAATACTTGGTTGCTCTAGTCTCTAATGTGGACATGTTTGGAGTAGAGATTAGGTATCGCTGCTTAGAACACATCGCCTTTTTCTTTCAGTGTCGATTTTCAGCCAAAGCCACCGGTTGGCGAAGCAGCGTGTCTCGATACAAGTCAGACCAACTGACGATTCTTGACCGGGGGAGGATCCACATCGAAGGCGGCTTGGATTGATGACGATGACACAAGGTATCCAGGCACCCAGGACTTACCGGTCAGTATGCAGACTGCCGCACATGTTCACCGGTCGCCAGATATCTGTCACTCCCTCCCCCCTCAGGTGCCAAGCTGCGTATCACCATGACCGATGGGCACGCTGGCATTCCATCTCCCACAAAAGGGAATCTCGATCTTGTCGATCTCCAACAGGGGAAATTCTTCCAAAAGTCACTAGGTACGGGCAAATGACGTTGGCGAGCAACGTGGGACGAACGACCCAGCTGGACCTCCACACCGAGTGCCTTGTACGCCCTCGGTGACCGACGTCTCCACACCACCACCCAACACCACACAGGGAAAGGCAACCTAGCTCGAATGCCTATCCATGTACTACGAATGACAATGGACTGTTCCGTTCCTGAGCTGGACGATTTGGATGAACTGGTCCAGCTCCAACCTTCCAAGCTTCTTTAAAAGGTGAGAGGAGGCGCGTAAACACAGACTGTCATCTGGCGCGACCTTTTTCATTCTTGTTGTTTCGGCCGTCTGGCTCAAGTTTGTCTTTCTCCGACGCCTGTTCTCTTTGCAGTTCTCGTGGTGTCGAGACCCTTGTTTGTCACTCGCGCAGAAATGTTCTGGAAATCCCTCTCCACATGCGTGCTGCTCGCAAGCACCGCCCTAGCAGCTCCAGGCTATAATTTCAGGGCACTGCAGCAGTGTGTCAGCGGTGCTCTGGCCGCAGGGGGAAATGTCGCGGAGCGTGTGCAATCGCCCGCAAACGCGACCTGGGACGATGCCTATGTCGGTGCCATCATGTGCGTATCTCAAAGGTCCCTCGTACAGGAAACCACTGACTTACAGTCTTCTAAAGCAAGCCCGAGACTCCCGCCATGATTGCCTTCGCTGAGAGTTTCACAGAGGTGGGCGCCTTGATGGGCTGCGCCAACAGCACTGGGTACCAGGCCGTTCCTCGGTCAGGACGACACCAGTAAGCACCGTCAAACGCTTACTGCCCACTCTTTCTGACAGGTCGATGCAGTTTCGAAGGCTGGTCGGCACTCAATGGCTCTCTGGTCATCGATGTCTCGTCTCTCAGCTATGTCAATGTCTCCAGTGACCTCAGCAACGCGACCATCGGGGCTGGCACAAACCTTGGACAGATATACACAGAGTTGAGCGTGGTGAACAAGACGTTTCTCGGGGGCATCTGTCCCACAGTGGCTCTCGGGGGATATCTCGGTGTGGGAGGGTACAGCCTTCAGCATCGAGCCCTGGGGATTGCGGTCGACCAGGTACTCTCCTTCAAGGCCATCTTGGCCAGCGGCGAGCTTGTCACCGTCTCCCCCACCTCCCATCCAGATCTGTGGTTCGCTGCCCGTGGTGGTGGTCAGTATGCCTTCATCGTCGAGGCCACCGTAAAGATCCTCACCTTGCCGCGGTCCGCCATGGTCGTGGGTTTCTATAACAACTCCGATACCCGTTATGAGGTGGCTAGGAAATGGCTTGACTGGGCTCCGACTGCGCCAAAGGAACTCACCACCCAGCTGAACGTCTATAACAACCGCACCCACCTGATCGGCTGGTACCTGGGCGGTTCTACCCAACAACTCCGAACGGCTCTGAACACGTCGGGTCTTTTGGATGTCGCCGACGGTGTCGTGTCCATCGACGGGAATTGCAGCACGGCAAACTCACGAATGTACTGGCAGGACACTTCGACCAGGTGCACCGACGATACATCAGCATACCAAGCATTTCTCAAGGTCTACAACACCGAGTCGATCAACCTCGCCCCGATCCAGCCGGCTTTACGCCTAGACAATACGCCAGCCATACCATCGGAGCCCGTTGCTGTGCCTTGGCCCCGCTTTGGTGTTATCAGCAAGACATACTTCACCCAGAAGAGCAGGCCTATCACAAACGACACTCTGAGGGAGCTCATCGACCGATCCGCGGTGCTGAGTGACGAGGCTGGTTTCTGGGGCGAATGGACCAGCTTCGGCGTCGCGGACCCGACCACATCTTCATCTTTCCCCTGGTTGAAAGAGGCACAGGCTCTACTGCGGATCGAGATGAACTCGCCACAGAATGTCTCCGCGTACAACCAGAACCGGGCATGGCTGCTGGACTTTGAAAAATTCCTGCGCCCCAAAGTAGGGTATGTATCTTTGTTTTCCAGCCGGCAAACTGCGGTGTATCGTTTCAAAGGGACTCGACTGACTTTCTTGACTCTCGTGCAGAAACGCTAGCTATTCTGGATATGTCGATGTCGACATCAGCATCAACCCGCTGACAGCATTCTACGGCAACAACACCTGCCGATTGATCAGCATCAAGCAGAGATATGATCCCAGCAACTTCTTCCGAAACCCATTCTCGATCCCAACAAAGGTACCCAAGGGCATATCGTGCTGAGCTGGGAAGCCGCCACAGTCAAGGTTTGCTGGATGTGATAGTGACTTGGTACTGTAAGATAGCCAATTTGAAATCTTGAGGAGCAGGCCAAAGCGGTCGAGGGTAGACAAGTCAGAATGCAAACTCTGGTTAGATGACAGAAATGCGCACTCAGAATGGCCTTCATGAATCGCCTTGACTTGTGAGACTTTTGCCCTGATCACAAAGCGGAAGCGAGTAGACTCCTGACTTTTTAGACCTAGGGAGCTGCTGTTCGTCTACTGTGGAGGCCATTCGGAGACGGTATCACCGGCTGGGTAGCATGGTCAAAAAAAAAAAAGGATCGGGCAATCACCGTGCGGTATGCAAAAAAAAAAAAAAAAAAAAAGGCAGTCAGATCGAGGTGAAGCAGTTCCATGTAGCAGGCCAGCTCCTCACAGCGAGGCTCTCTGATGTCGGCAAAACGTCAATCTCAACAGCGGACCAGTGGCGGCTCGAACCAATGGCAATACCAAATGTACCACAAGGCTTCGGTCACCGTCTAGTGTTTCGGTCAAAAGCTGCCCATGAGACGATGAAGCCAAGAGGCCGTCCATTCTGACAGATTGAAGATATCATAAATTTGCCAATGACATCAGCTTCATTCGGACATGAAACTTTGGGATATATCACCGTCAAAGTCTTAACTTGAAGTTATCTTTCAGCAAGTATTTTTCGAGACATGCACGAGGCCATTGTCTTGATTTGTTGATCTTCACCATGTCCAACTTCTGGCCCAAGAAACCTTTCTCCATCGCCATTGTTGGCGGAGGTCTCGCCGGCCTCAGCCTGGCTCGGGGCCTCCTCCGCCGTGGCATCAGCTGTCAAGTCTTTGAGGCTGCACCCGCCTTCGCTGATATCGGAGCGGGTCTCAGCTTTGCTCTCAATTCCCTGGAGGCACTAAAAGCCGTCGACCCTGACTCTTACGAATGCTTTCTCAAGCGGTGCAGCGAAATGTCAGAGAAGAAGGACGTGTACATGACGTATCGAGATGGGAACGCAGAAGACAACCACGCGCTCACGACGCTGTACTGCAAAGGTTCTGGGCAGCAGGCCGTGCACCGTACCCTGCTGGTCAAGGTCTGGACCAGCTTCACACACAAACAAGAATGACAAATATTCTGACAATTTTTAGGACATGGTGTCCCTGATGCCCAATGGTACGTGGCACATGGACAAGAGACTGACCACCATTGAGGAGAATCTCTCCGGCGGTGTCACCTTGAGCTTCGAGGACGGCACACTGTTTGACGCCGATGCCGTGGTCGGTGCGGACGGAATTAAATCCAAGACTCGTCAAATCCTCTTGGGTCCAGACAATCCCGATGCTAAGCCGAAGTATTCAGGAGAGTTCGGTTACCGCAGCCTCGTGCCCATGGAAAAGGCTGTAGAAGTTCTGGGCGAGGACTTTGCAAGGAACGGCAATGTCAATATCTCTGATGGTGCCCTCACAACTACATACCCCGTCGAAAAGGGGACCATGCTCAATGTTGTAGCAGCACGGAACCAGCCAACCTGGGACGATCCCAACTGGGTCATTCCAGCAAACAAGGAGACGGTCGAGGAAGAGTTCAAGGGAACGGGACCACAGATGCAGAAAGTGGTGTCGCTATTGGAGAATCCGCAGAAATGGTCCCTTTGGCATCACCCAGAGGCCGCGACCTTCTATCGTGGTCGATTTTGTATTATTGGCGATGCTGCACACGCGGCCACTCCTCACCAAGGCGCAGGTGCCGGGCAAGCATTCGAAGATGCTTTAGTTCTCGCTCGGCTGTTGGCGGATGACAACATCAAAACAGCTGATGACATTGAGACGGCATTTGCTGCATTCGACGCCATCCGCCGCCCACGGACTTTAAAGATTGTCGATACCAGCAGGGAAAACGGCATGATCTGCATGAAGAAGGGTGAGAAAACCGGCACCGACCTCGAGAAGATCAAGAACAATTTAGACCACAGATTTGATTGGATCTGGTACGACGACCTCGAGAGGCAGGTCAACGAAGCCAAAGAAAAAGTGAAGGAACTGAAAGGGGCGCAATTCGAGGTAGACAAAAGATCTCCCTCACAGCGCGAGGCTCTGGACGAGTCGTCTCTCGAAGCCTCCTACCGTCCCGCAATTCTCAGAAATGAGAGCCTTTCGCTGCTTGGACCTCCGGCAGCATCAGCGGTAAAGGTGTGATCTGGAAAGGTTACACGTAGCCGAGGATTTGTTCTCGATCAGCCTTGCGGGATTGAGGTCATGCAGGAACCATTAGCCGTGCTATAGCCACAACCAAAAGCTCTAGGTAGACAATTCGAGATGTCGGACTGGTAACAGATCTTCTCTTCCCCCGACAATGGTCTCATCTCTCCTGCCAAAGATAGGCATCAATCTCGATAAAGGAGCGAAGTCCAGCAAAGGTTAGACCCGCTGATGCCACCCGCTCCAGAACATGGATGGCCTGGACATGGGATCCGTCACTTTGCTCTAGTCTCGAGTTCAACACTTAGAAGCGAAGATATGCCATCAAATCTCGATCCCCAGAGAGCCATCGGAAATCGAGAATAGCAAAAGAGATCGCAGATGTGCGTTTCCAAGCATTTGGGATGGATTTGTTCGCCCACACGAATCAAAAAGCCATGTGTGAGCAGTCACAATGCTGAGAATTGACCGGCGAGCGAAGTTCGGTGGATATTGGGAGTTGTTCGAAATGACAATGATCCACAGGGGGCGAGAGCCCATGAACCACACAGTAATCTGCGACCCTAGTGGCGGTATTCGGTGTCGTCATATTCTAGATTCGCCGGACAGTAAATACACCGGACGCTTTTCACCTCTACTTCGGTTTTCTTTGGATGGTTCGCCTGACGTGCTGCATGTGCCATACGCGAGAGATTGTAGAGAAGGTATGCATCTGAGCAATGCTTGAAGACCTCACGAAGTTCATCGATAAGGTAAGTGTCTGCGAAAAGACCAACGGCATGAGACGTCATCGTAGATTGCCCGCTTTTACATTTCCCTGCGCCCGTTGCTGTCGTATGTCTCCAGTGTTATCGGTGGCCGATAAATCGTAGACTCAGTTGGTTTCGAGGGTTGTTGTGTGAGGCTCCATCAGTAGAAAAACAGGCTGAGGACGCTCTCTACTCCCATACCTGATTGTATTCAGCCTTCAGATCTGGATTCACTGTCCCCCACAAATGTGTCTGCCATTCTCGCGTGCAGACCTTCCGACCACTATGGGCCGGGACATCAAGGTTCTCCTGTTCGGAGACCAGTCGGAAGAAAGATTCGACGAGCTGCGCGAAATAGTCACAGTTACCGACAATCCTCTTCTGAGCGCTTTCATCGAAAAGGCATATTTGGCTTTACGAGATGAGGTTACCCATCTCCCTTCGGTGACGCGGGGCTTGCCTGGCTTCACGAGCATCGAGACGTTGCTGTGGCGATACAAGGAGGCCGGCGTTCGACACCCAGCGATCGAAAGTGCATTGGTGTGCATCCACCAGATCGGTACTGTGTTGAGGTATGTACACAACATACAATTGGTTGTAAGGTTGGAAGTTGTCGTGCTGCGATTTTCTCTCTCCAAGATGCACGTGCATGCCAAGCCTGACGCGGGGTTGAAGCGCAGTTTGAACTGCGCCTCAAGCAAGAATCATGTTGTTTCATCTCCACATCAGCCACACTTCTCTCAATGGAATCTCCACTAATCTCTCTTTCAGATACTACGGCGATGGATCAGAAATCTATCCCAAACCCGAAGATACTAGACTTGTGGCCTCCTGTACCGGGCTGCTCTCTGCCGCCGCCGTCAGTTGCGCCCATACCTATAGCGAGCTTGTCTCTGTCGGCCTCGAGGCTCTCAAGCTTGCATTCCGCGTCGGATCCCAGGTGACCCAGGCGTGTGATGAGATTGATCAGACGTCGGTGCCAAGCAGTTGGGCAGCCATCTTCCCTGGGGTAGGAAAAGAATCAGCGTATTTAGCCCTTGACGACTACTACAAGAAAACGGTAAGCCAATGCAATGCCGCTCCTTCGTGCTATGACTCGGTTCCTAAACGAAGACTACTACTGCAGAACGTCCCGCCAACCAGCCGACCTTATGTGTCTGCTACCAGTACCAACTCGGTCACCATCAGCGCTCCTCCAGCAGACTTGGAGAGACTGATTGAAGCTCGCATCTTCAAATCTTGTCGGCCCATTTGGCTGCCCATTTTTGGGCCTTATCATGCGCCTCATTTCTACGGTCACGAGACGGTGGTCTCTTTGGCTGCTTCGATCGATGATGCGAGTGCCAGTGAGTGGAAAGTGCGAATTCCCATCATCAACAATGGCAAAGAGTATGCCTACGAAGCGTCCAATTTCCGCCAGCTGATCGAAGATGTCCTTGAAGACATCCTTCTGAAACCTCTGCATTGGGACAGGCTGTGTACCAATTGTGTAGCCAGCGTCTCCTCGGCGGAACCAGAGCAATGCCGCGTCGTGCCAGTAGGCGCGAAGAATGCCTCCGCTAGCCTGGTCAATGCTCTGAACCATAAGGCTTCATTCAAAATCGTGGTTGATAACCGCAGGACGGAAGCCGCCGACAAAACTACGGAACCCAGGCCAATTGGAGGTCTAGGCAAACCCAAGATTGCCATTGTTGGCATGTCCGGCAGATTCCCTGATGCCATGAGCCCGAGCTTGTTCTGGGACCTCTTGAGAAAAGGTCTTGACGTTCACCGTGAAGTGCCACCCGACCGATTTGATGCCCAAGCACACTACGATCCAAGTGGCAAGCGCAAAAACACAACCCACACACCATATGGCTGCTTCATCGAGCACCCTGGCTTGTTTGACGCCCGCTTCTTCAACATGAGTCCTAAAGAAGCAGCTCAGACAGATCCCATGCACCGATTGGCTCTACTGACCGCTTACGAGGCGCTCGAAATGTCCGGCTTTGTTCCTAATAGAACTCCTTCAACGAGAGTTGACAGGGTTGGGACATTTTATGGCCAGACTTCTGATGACTGGCGAGAGATTCAAGATGGACAAAACATCCAAACATACTTTATTCCTGGTTGGTTCTGTTCTCTCTTTGTTTCGGTATTTGCCAGTTCTAACCCCATACAGGAGGTGTGAGAGCTTTTGCACCCGGAAGAATCAACTATCATTTTGGCTTTTCGGGGCCCAGCTTCAGCGTCGATACGGCATGCTCTTCTAGTCTTGCTGCAATCAACATTGCTTGCAACTCCCTATGGCTTAGAGACTGCGATACCGCCCTTGCCGGTGGTCTGAATGTCTTAACTAACCCAGATATCTTCTCCGGTTTGTCCCGTGGCCAGTTCTTGTCCAAAACGGGCAACTGCAAAACATTCGATGATGCAGCGGACGGCTATTGTCGTGGAGACGGTGCCGGCACGGTCATCCTGAAACGTTTGGAAGATGCTGAAGCGGACAACGATCCAATTCTTGCAGTCATCCTTGGTACAGGTACCAACCACTCTGCTGAGGCAGTCTCCATCACCCACCCTCACGCGGGAGCTCAGGAGTATCTCTTCAAGAAGGTTCTCACAGAGTCTAACCTTGATCCTCATGATATTTCGTATGTCGAAATGCACGGTACCGGAACTCAAGCAGGTGACGCCATCGAAATGGAGTCGGTCCTAAATTCATTCGCCCCAGCGGATCGACAGCGTCCTCCAGACCGCCCACTCTACCTAGGAAGTGTGAAAGCGAATGTTGGACATGGAGAGGTGCTCTAGAATACTCTTTCTGATAGAAATGATGCTGATTTTATGGTTAGGCTGCTTCGGGTATCACTGCCCTCGTCAAAATCCTCCTCATGCTTGAGCATGGTCTCATCCCACCCCATTGCGGTATCAAGGGCAGTATCAACCATAACTTTCCGGATCTTGGGGCTCGCAATGTACACATTTCTCTCGGTCATGAGACACCGTGGAAGCGACCGCGAGGTGGCAAACGCAGGATGTTCTTGAACAACTTCAGTGCCGCAGGAGGGAACACCTCGCTTCTCATGGAGGACGGAGATCTACCTACTTTGGATGGCGAAGACCCTCGCTCCACTGCCGTCGTTGCGGTCACTGGAAAGACCAAGAAAGCTTTAGTGGACAACACAAAGAACCTGATCGAGTATATATCCGACAAAACTGTAGATCTCCCGTGTTTGTCCTACACGACGACAGCCAGAAGAGTCCACTACTCCTACAGAACAAGTGTTGCCGGCTCCGATCTGCCTGGAATTCTGTCAGGACTTCGAAAATCCTTGGAGTCTGAGCCAACTCCTGTTCCTTCCGGTGTCCAGATGGTGTTTGCCTTCACTGGGCAAGGCTCACACTACACTGCTATGGGTAAGCAGCTCTACGAAACCAACAACCAATTCCAAGCCGATCTTCAACGCTTCGATCTTCTAGCTCGAAACCAAGGACTGCCTGCCATCTTACCCCTGGTCGATGGGAGCACTGAAATCGAGAAGCTTAGCCCGGTGGTGGTACAGACTGGAGCGGTCTGTGTTCAAATGGCGCTTGTTCGATTATGGCAATCCTGGGGTATCGAAGCAGCCGCAGTCGTTGGCCACAGCCTTGGAGAATATGCAGCGTTGCAAGCATCTGGTATTTTGTCAATCAACGATGCTATTTTCCTAGCTGGCACAAGGGCAAAATGCCTCGAGCAACATTGTACGATGAACACGCACGCCATGCTGTCTGTTGCTGCCTCGGTCCAGGAACTTGAGGGAGTCGTTGACGGCAAGACACTTGAGATCGCCTGCATCAATGGACCAAAGGCAACAGTGATCAGTGGAGAATCATCCAACATTGACAAGCTCAAGGAACATCTGTCCTCCAAAGGCATGAAATGTACCAAACTAGCAGTGCCTTTCGCATTTCATTCCACGCAGGTAGAACCTGCTCTGACTGACTTCGAAGCTGCCGCCGCTGGAGTTACCTACCATGCTCCCAAGATACCGCTCATTGCTCCACTGCTGGGCACTGTGGTCGACGAGGAAGGAATCGTCAACGCAAAGTATTTGAGACGTCACTGCCGTGAGCCGGTAAATTTCCTGGGTTGCATCCGAGCTGCAAAGGACAAGGGGATTATCAAGGATATGACCCAGTTTCTCGAAATTGGCAGCCACCCAATCTGTGGTGGTATGGTCAGATCAATCTTGGGTCCGACCACTGTGGCTCTTCCGTCATTAAAACGGGATGAGGATGTTTACAAGACCTTAGCAACGACCCTCTGTGGTCTCCATCAGGCTGGTCTCACAATCAACTGGAATTGCTACCACGAAAGTATTCCCCGCTGTCAACAGACCCTGAAGCTGCCAGCCTATGCTTGGGACGCATCAAATTACTGGATTGAATACGAGAACAATTGGACGCTCAGCAAGCCTGGCATGGCGCAGATGCCTGCGGGCGAGCAGTCTAAGAAGCTAAGCACAAGCACAGTCCAGCGTGTCGTCGAAGAGAAATTTCAGGGTCAAACTGGCACTTTAACCACCGAAACCGACATTTCGAAGCCAGAATTGGAGGAGACGATCCAGGGTCACCTTGTGAATGGCTCTGCCTTGACCTCTAGTGCGGTCTACGCAGATATGGCACTGACCATTGGTGACTATGTTCACCGCAAGTTGCAACCCGAAATCAAGAATTTCGCGTTGAACTGTGCCAACATGGTTGTAGAGAAGCCTCTCATTTTCAAGGGTGGCGAGCAACTTCTACGCGTCGACTGCAAGGCGGATCTTACCCAGGGTGTCTGCTACCTCACCTTCTACAGCGTTGGTCCCAAAGGACAAAAGCTCATGGAGCACGCCTATTGTGAAGTTCAATATGGCGATGTGGAGAGATGGTCTACCGATCTGGCTCGACAGAAGTACCTCGTGCAGAGCCAGATTGACCGGCTGTTGCAGATGGGCCAAACTGGTACCCTCAGTCGACTCCAGCGAAAGATGGCCTACAAGCTGTTCTCTGTCCTAGTTGACTACCAGAACGCTTACAAAGGCATGGCCGAAGTCATTCTTGACAGTCCATTGCGTGAAGGTACCGCCAGAATTGAACTTCAGACGGGCAGTGCTGGCACATTTTACATGGCACCGTATCACGTCGACTGCCTCTGCCATCTTGCGGGGTTCATTATGAATGCAAATGACGAACTGGATTCTTCACAAACCGTGTACGTCAACCATGGATGGGACTCTTTGCGTTTCTTTGAGAAGCCGTCGGTGTCGAAGCGTTACCGTTCCTATGTCAGGATGCAACCTACAGGCCCTGGCTCCAAGGACTACTCCGGGGATGTGTACGTCTTCGACGAGGACGGCAACATTGTTGGCCAGATTGGCGGCTTGACCTTCCAATACTTACCCAAACAGATTCTCGACCGAGTTCTGCCACCAGCTAGTGGTGCAAAGGCCGCTGCCTCTGCTTCAACTAAGACGACCACTGGTAGGCCAAAGAAAGCCGCCCCGAAATCTGCTCCCACGCCACCAAAGGCAGCACCTAGCGTCCCAAGTGTCATGAGCCGCGCATTGGATATCATGGCCGAAGAGCTTGGTGTTCCTGTCGCAGACCTGACCGACGATACTGATCTCAGTGCCCTTGGTGTCGACTCGTTGATGAGTCTGACCATCTCAGGCAAGTTCCGCGAAGGATTAGACATCGAAATCCCGTCAACCTTGCTAGCCAATTCAGAAACATTCAAACAGGTCAAGGACTTTTTGTCTCAATTCGAATCCAAGGATGCCACGCCGCCATCACCATCTACAGTGTCCTCGGTGGGGTCGACTGAACCGTCAGGAAGTTCGACTCCTACCCAACTTGATACCAACTCCACGATGTCGGACCCACAGAGTGATGAGACACATGCTGGACAGGATGGTGAGAAGCTTGAGGCCATCCGTGCTGCCATTGCCGAAGAAACTGGTATAGACCCCAACGAAGTCACTTCCGACATGGACCTAGAAGCCGTCGGCATCGATTCTTTGATGTCCCTTCAGATCCTGGGTTCCTTGCGTGAAGACAAGGGTATCGACCTGCCACCCTCATTCTTCACTGACCACAGCACCTTTGGTGACGTTGAAAAGGCGCTGGGCGGAGTTAAAGAGGCTGCGAAGCCCAAGCTCCCGGCCAAATCCGAAGAAATGTCGACAGAACAGGTGGTTACGGAAATGCAAATAAACAAGGGCCACAAGCCGGCTGAGCCGTCGAAGGAGCAGCTGCGCACTCCGGCCTCTGGCACCAACAAGGCTTTCAAAGCATCATCGGTCCTGTTGCAGGGAAATCCAAAGACTGCAACGAAGACTGTGTTCATGTTCCCTGACGGTTCAGGCTCGGCGATTAGCTATGCCACGATCCCTCCAATCGCGCCCAAGGATGTCGCTCTGATTGCCCTCAATTGCCCGTACATGAAGGAGCCAGAGGCCTTTGAGGGAGGTATTCCAGGAGTCACAGCGTTGTATCTGGAGGAAATCCGTCGCCGCCAGCCCAAGGGTCCTTATATCCTGGGCGGTTGGTCAGCTGGAGGCATCTGTGCCTATGAAGCCTGCTTGCAGCTCTCTGCTGTGGGTGAGAGTGTTGAAAAACTCATCTTCCTCGATGTACCGTGTCCTTTGCCACCACAAGCGCTGCCATCTCGCTTGCATCACTTCTTTGACTCGATCGGACTGCTGGGCCAGGAAGGCGAAGCGCCGGGCTGGCTTATCCCGCATTTCACGGCGACCATCGAAGCGCTGAGTAGCTATCGACCGCGGCTCATGGACCCTGCGAAAGAAAAGTTCCCAACTGTATACACCATCTACGCACAAGATGGTGTGTGCAAGAATGACAACGACCCGCGGCCCGAGCTGACCCCGGATGACCCGCCACACATGAACTGGCTGCTCTTCAACCGCAAGGACTTTGGACCTATTGGGTGGGAGCAGCTGTTTGGCGGTTCCGACAACATCATCGGTCTTGACCCTGTCCCTGGTGTCAACCACTTCACCATGATGCGCGAGCCCATGGTCGAAGAGCTACCCAGTCGCATTCAGAAGGCCCTGGGTGTGACTGACGAGTGAGGCTCACATCACAGGCACGTCACTACCAGGCTGAAAGGTGCTATCTTTGCATGTGAAGATAACGGAAAGAGAAATAGTAAATCCGCAACAAGAGGAAAGCTAAACAGATGTGATCAGAGTATCCCTGGCTTTGATTGACTTGAGACTGCAAGAGCATATCGTGGGGGTAAGGCCAAGTCAGCAATTGTCCACCTCTCCTCGTTATTCCGGAACTCTCATGGTTTAGAATTGTGGCACTGGGAAAGCCATGGCGGTCGCAACAGCAAACGAAGAGATTGCCATTTTCGACACAGTTGGCGCTGGAGAGGGAATCGTTTGGTATGGGAAGGGAAACGAAGCTGGTATCTTTCTTCCTTTTCTCAGCCTCATCCCATCTTTTTTGGGGGGGGGGGGGGGGGGGGCTTCCTGCGCTTCTTTGTTATACTCCTCATCCTTTCCCATCCCCTCGCTTTAAAGGCACTGGGTGCATCTTGGCTAGACATCACATGTCCTCCCCTCGGCAGTACATGGTCAGATTGCGCAGTTGAGTTGAGTCGAGTCGGGCTGAGTCGATTTAAGTTGAAGATGGCTTTCGGGTTTTTATTTCTGCGTTTTTTTCCCGACACTTTCGATAGAATTTTGGGAGATATTTCAAAGAAACGTTGGAATGGATTGTTTTTTTATTTTTATTTTTTCCCCTTGACTTTCTTTAGCTTTGACCTCGACTTCTGACTTGATGTACCCGTTCACATCCATGACCTTGTCCACATTCACGTCCACTGACGCACCCCCACTTGCAAAAAAAATACTCACAGAACTCACACACTGCGCGAAAAGGTTTTCAGAGTCGAGGATGTATGCGGTATACGATATACAGTACACAGTACACAGTGTGGGTGATTGGGAACTCGTACTTGTATATTGGCGATGGCAGTGATGGTGACAATGACGGTGACGGCGACGGTGACAGCAGAGGGTGCAGTGTAGTGTAGTGCAGTGTAATGCACTAGCGGTAGGAGTGATTATCGCCACAGCAATATAATATAACACATCATCTCCTACAGCATACGAGTACGAGCAACGAGTTACAGGCTAGATACGATAAGGATTCAAGAACGAACATGGCATCTATCCAAATAATGGAAAATTGTCAGCAGACACGACAGCCTGTCCGTTGGTCCATCTTCCATCTGTCCTTCGATCCCCCCAACCCTCAATTAGTCGACCAGACGGACAACACTGTAGAGATCAACTCCCCGCGAGAAAGGAGACCCTAAAATCCAGAAGAGAAAAAGAAGAACGAGGGAAAGGGGAAGGTGGTCACAATCCACAGAAAAAACAGGCTTCGTTGTCATGGAAGACACGACGAGAGACAGACAGAGAGAGGGCAGCCGCGGCGTCCAGGATGACAAACATTTGAATCCAACTGTCTGACCTTGTCGTGGTCGTTTACCTTTTGTGGTTTTTTTCCTCTTGGCATTGCAGCGCAGAATACGACATTGGGTCAGGCGTTCTTGGTCTGGGCGATGGCAGCTGTGAAAGAGAGCACCATATCAGCACCAAACAAGAAGATGGTCGGTGACACGCCACGGTGTGTGTCTTACCCAAGAACCGAATGGACCCAAGTCGCTCTCAAAAATATCTGATATCGTGGGTAGCCAGGGGTTCAAGGCGTACGAGGTATTCCAGTGCATATCCCGAGGAGAGAGAGAGCGAGATTCCTGTACCGGAATGAGTACCGAGTATACCTTTCGATTCACATAGCCCAATGAGACCACACGTGCCTCGGTGCTGTCGGGTGGGAGGAAGAAGAGATGACAAGACCCAAAGCCCTTTTGACATGTGAAATTGACCATCGGAGGCAGCTTCTGGTTGATCCCACTCCGATCAAGCCTGGCACCAAGCTTCCTCAAGGCCTAGAAAATCCTTCGCGCATACTCCATCTCAAGAATAAAGGCAGGAACATACCATCCCGGTAGCAGCAGGAGGAGTAGAATGGGGAGGATCGTTGGAGGCGGGGTTGGCCAACTCGACTGGCCGTGAGGTACGTGGGTACATTAGAGCGAGGAGGCGCCGGGGAATTAGCGGACAGTTTTCATACCCCTGTCTAGACAATGGGGTCTCTGTACTCTGTGCGAATGTGGCTGACCTCTCGAGATGTTATGTCGGCTTTCCTCCTCACAGATCGAAGCAGCCCGCTACTTACACAGGCATAGTAATGGTCGCCCCTGTCAATATTATGCAATGGATGTGTTGCTGCTCCTGACTGCCGACGGAAGAACACCATCGCTTATTCGGTTGATGGTCGCTGCTAGTATGCCTGATCATCGTGTCCTACCGGGAATCCTGACAGCATATCCACGTCGGTTAGACTGGCCTCTGTCATCGAGTCAGTCCTTAGTCAGGGCTGGCTGGTAGTGACTGGGTTCGACACAGGGTAGAAGCGACTTTCTGTGGTGTCCTGTGTCCACATATCATCTATTGATCGATAGCCCTCGTTAGTATAAAGTTCCAGGCGTGTCCTTATCGAAACGATCACAAACAAACTGTGAGCGGCCCTAATCCTCCGGCAATCATGGGTGTCGGTAACTGTTTCATGGTGGAATGATCTGTCGTACAGGTACAAGGCCTATTCCGAGAGAGCATGGTCCATCTCCAAAGACCTAATCTAGGTATGATCTGCACCACCAGGACAGCGTGCGGCCGCGGGGGGTTTCTGAACCCTTGGCGAACGTGGGATATTCGCTAAAATATGCCCTGATTTGTGGATCGGCCTTCAAAGTTGTCATTCCTTCTGGCGACGTCCTGCTACTCGTTCCGGTTTCTCGAGCTGTGTGCTGCGTGACGACTCGAGCAATGCTGGATCGCCGGCGACCAAGTTGTCTCAACTAGAAGTCGTTTAAGTCGCTTTTTCCTTCGAGATCGTCTCACTGATCTTCTCACCGGACGATCCTCCACTTGTTGTTCTGCAACCTACGCGTGCCTTAGCATAGGACTTCCTAAGGCAGTGAAGAGCAGCATCCCAGGGCGACTGTGGGACTCGTAACCCATGAAACATATGTCATGCTGATCCCGGTGCTGTCCTCGTATCTTCTGTCATACAGCAAGGCTTTACGTCAGGTCAGTGTCTTTTCCTTGGTGTTCCTGGTGGTACAAAGCTTCCGGCCTGATGACGCTACCTGGTGGCCTTCGGTGAGAACCTTGTGCTGTTCCAGTGCTCCAGAATGATCTGGCAAAGGCTTTCGGGACCTCGATCCAGAAGTAGCTGTGAGCGTGAATCCCGATGACCAACGCAAAGCTAGCCAGTCACTAGTAAACTTTGTTACTTTTCCTGTAGTTAAAAGCTCACATATGTCGGTCGCTTTGGATGGGATTTGAACAAACTGCTAGCCTCAATTACCTGCATGACCATAATCCGTCCTCAAAAGAGTGTTGCTTCCTCAAAAGCTCGGGCTCAATTCGCCGTATAATGGACGCCAGGGATGACCGGCTCTCTCTTGCCGGGGGTGGGCCAGTCCTCTAGAGCCGATACATCGTCCACTTGCTGGGGGCTGGCCCCCCTGGTTGAAGGAATTTGTTCATAGTTTTCCCCAAATCGATGTTAGGCCCCATGTTGCCAATATTTTTAACCAAGTAGGGTGCTGAGGTGAGCTCCGAGAGAGAAACTCAATAAGGGTGACAAGGTTCTGCGCATGCCATTCGCATTTTTGTGTATGTTGGAAAGAATTTTGAGATTGCTGCTGCGAACGAGGTTTGGACGGGCATACCTCGTACAATCCCCCCATCTCCACTTCGATAAAAGGCCCAAATTCATGGGCAGCACAGTCGAAATCGCTGGGCAAGGCATCCATGCACGACACTCTGGCTTGCATGGCATCCAGATGAAAAGCATATGCAAAGCATGGACACTCACACTCGTCGTTCACCACCAGCCTATCGTACCTGTTCACTTATCAGTTCACTAGACCAGACCGGTTACGATCGACGAGGCGCAAGTTCGCCGACCCTGTTCGGTGGATCCCTGAGGCTCGCCAATGCTGCAGTTTAATGGAAGTTAGTTGTACCCCCATCGCTAGGTACTCCGACAAAAGTAGATTCGTGTTGCCTGAGTCTTGTTTATGTCGAGTTTCTTCTTGGACCAACAACTTGAAACTCTTCACCCAGGTGCCCAGGGCGTAGCGGAAACGGAACAAAGAGTACGGTCTCTGTGGTATGCCGCAGCTCATCCAGCTCTCCCCTCGGCTTATTCCTCCACAACAGTGTAGGCTTAAGACAGAGCTTGGTGGAGCCTTGCTCCAACTGGGAAGCACCTCCTGCAGCCCCCGAACGTGCACCAGTTGTGGGCAACTGTGGGAAAGGGGCGGCCGTTGGAACTCTCCGGAGTCTATTTTCGGGTGCGTTGTCTGCTTCGCTCGTTTTGGACCCTAGGAAACGTGGTCCATGCCAGCGCCCTGCCTCAACACTTGGTTGTTGTTGTTGTCGTCGTTCAGCCACCAAGTTTGCGGACCACGGTCAAGGCAGATCGAAAGCTAGCTTGACAGAACAAAGCGTTTGTATCCGTATTTTCCGTACTGGCAGCAATCCACAAGGCGAACCACTGCAGCCAGACCGTTTGAGATGCAAGTCAGACGCTCCCAAGCCTCTTGTATGTAACGCTCAGCGCTGATGGCTTTCAGCCCGTTCAAGGCTGTCCACCACAAAAGCAATTGGCCACCCCCCGGCTCCTTTGGTGGCAACGCCTGATTGACGGAGGATGATGTATGAGACTTCCGGTTGCGACCCAGAGGCAAGAGCCGGTCCTCGGCGACCACTCGCCACAGGAAGGGCCTAAGCGGTTGATCGACATTGTGGTGGCACAGTAGGCCTCGTAAGCAGAGCGAGGACCACAGGCAGCCAAAACATCGGTGCACTTTACATAAGAAAGTTTCTTGTGAGATGTCTCGAGAGGTTTTGTTTCTGTCAGATGCTGGGAGGGCAGAGATTAGTGGCCCCATCCGAATCTGGCAGTTTCGGCATGAATTAAGCACTGCCTGCATCGTAGCGCTTCAATTCGGTAACACAGGGGGAGTATTTGCCATTGAAACATATCAAGCTGACCAACATTGGTGGGCAGATCTGAAGGAACCCCTGGTCGTCCAATAGACTCGACCAATTGAGTTTGATCATCAGAGCAGGCACAGCTGTTTTGAGGACAGTCGACGTGATACTAGCCCCCCCGTGAGATCAGTAGTTATCTCCCCTGTTACCCGTCGAGGAGCTTCCGGATAGAGGCTGAGTGGTTGAACCACTTTTATTTTCTTCTTGGACACAGGGATGGCATTGCAACTCTATCACGGAGTCGGTGCCAATTTGGCTGCCAAAGCTTCGCACTGGACAAGTCTGAGAGGATGTTGCCGGCACATTGGACAGAGGCAGACAGGAATTGGCACGAGGGCATCCAAGCGCTGCCCATACATAGACCGATGGCAATTTCCATTTGGCGATACCTCTCCCAGCTGGTGTCCCTTACCCCAGAGAATGGTGGAGAAGGAGGTGCTTGTCTGGTCTGCAATACGTGGCTCCGTTCAGCTGCCCATGTGGCTCAAGCTGAACGACGACCATGGTCGTCCTGCAATGTCGCTCGTCGCATGCACATGGTACTTGCTTCGCCATCCCATGAAAAGGATGCTTGTCAAGTTGCATACAGGTTTTGCCGATCAAGGCCTAGCTCGCCAATCGCCATGATATACGATTGTCCGAGGGGCCCCGAGTTGACCGTTTGGCTCAACAACCACTTCACTTTTTTCTGCATCCTTCGCGAATCCTTTACTCCATATCGCTCTAATAGTGAAGTCTGCCGCGGGCACCCCAAATAACTGATCGAATTTCACTTTTGCATGCACCCAGCCAAGATTGGGCACCCTCGAGCAGGCCCTGATTTCATTCTCAGCACATGTTACCTCCCAAAGACATGTGCGAGGCTCGATATTTCAAGCCCAACACACAGGCTGAGAATGGAACCACCTCCCTCGCGAGTCCCAAGACGATGGACACCAGAGGAAGATGCGGTCCTGCGGACAGAGGCGACCTACCAATGTAAGTTGGGACATTCGCATCTGATTGGCCACGAGACTCTGAAGGCTGATAGAAGACCAGTAATCGCTGCTGGCTCAGTTAGAGATTGGAACAGAATTGCAACCAAACTTCCAGGTCGAATGAACAAGGACTGCCGCAAGAGATGGAGCAAGATATCGGAGAATGTGAGGAAGGGTAACTGGTGTGTATCGCAAGATTCGACGCCAGCTCCCGTACTATACTAACACTGTCGTTTAGGGCGGCAGCTGAAGATGCGAAACTCAGAGACGCTGTTGCCGCAATCGGAACAAGGTTCGCAAAACTCGATGTCCACCCACAAATCTCTCTCCGCTAAAAGGTGTCGACAGATGGACTCAAGTCGCAGAAATGGTTGGTACTCGACATGCCGATCGTAGGTCACCTTCCATCTTTAAAAGTCGACTCGAATGTTGAAACACGAACATTGACAACTAAAACCTCACAGAATGTGCCAAGCGCTGGACCCAATGCCTTGATCCCTCTATCGACCACAGTGACTGGAGAGAAGAGGAAGATAATAGGCTGCTAGCAGAGGTCGCTGCTTCTGGTCGAGACTGGAGGAAGATTGCAGAGTTGTTCCCTGGCCGTACCAAGTTGGCACTCAAGAATCGGTGTGACCAAGACTGCCCTTCAATTGGCTCTTCACTTGTGCTTGCGACTAATTCGCTTCTGCAGGTACACGGCTCTCAGACGAAAGCAGCACTCTCAACAGATAGCAAGCAATAGCCAGAGCCCTCAGCCGCACCCAAGTTTTTCCACCCAGGTTCATCGATCAGGGAGAGACGAATTGATGCAACTATCGGACGAGCTTCCCTCGAGTGAGGAGGAGATCTGTTCTTCGATGGGATCGACGAGGCCGCCATCACGTTCCTCGAACCACAGCAAGAAATCTCAAAGCCAGGCTGACAATTTCAATATGGCCATGGATCCATTGTCGGGGTTGACGACTCCGGCTAGTCATACCGACTCAAGCGAGTTATTTCAGTATATGCCGCACACTCCCAATCAGAACTTCGGCTTTCAACATCGCCACAGCATCGACCATTCGCTCCTGGACTCAAGCAACTTTTCACCGTTGAATTTGTCGATGAGCGAGCCCATGTTGACACCTCGACCTGAATACATGCCAACGTCCATGCTTGATGCCACGTACCCGGTGCATGCTTCAAGTCTCCCAAATGAGTGGCTTTCCGGGGGCCAAGCTTCGAACCAACACATCCAAGGCTATCCATTCCCCGAATCTTTTGATATTTCGTCCATGAGTGGGGTCGATCGACATTATGTGCCTCAACAAACATCTTTGAGGAAGACCACCATTGTGCTCGAGGATATCGAGGAGACCACATTGAGCAAGGTCATGAATATCCTTATCCAAGATAAAGCAAAAGTGAGGATGGAGACAACGCACTCGGACCGATCTTCATAACGTAGGTAAAGAGGACCCGTGGTGTGACGAGGGTTCATTGTAACATGATCAAGTTGCTTCAAGCCCAGTTTTGGGTGAAATCAAGTTGAGCGTCGGCGTTTGGGAGCATGGCGGATTGCGAAATGGCAGTCGGATATAAATGCATCCCTGGGTTCTTGGTGGATTGAACCTCGGACTGACGGTCACCAAGACCGTATCGGATTTCTGGGGAGTCGCAAGACATGCAGCTTGCTAGTCAACATGGCAATCCAATGATCTGCCGTGATACCAGTATATTGATGCTGTGACACTTCTGACTAAGGTCAAACAAGGACGTGGTGATCCCGATAAAGGTCTCAATAGGTTTGCTCCAGAGCAACCCGTGTGTCACAGAACAACGGAATAGGTGGCTAGTTGTTTTCATAACTGACCATGGATTTGCTGGCAATGGTCCGAAACCCGGTTTCCAGACAGACTTGTACTTCAGTTGCATTGAGTGGAAGCAGTGGAAGTTTTGTCCTAGTCCACAGGGGTCAATTCGACTCGCTGTTGAAGGCACACACAAGTTGACGGTGATCGCAGCATGTCGGCCAGGACATTCGGACAGGGAGCGCAAGAAGCCAATCTGAGTCTGTTTTGGGTCTGTTCCCGCGGAAGGTCGATAGATACCAATGGGCGGAATCCGACAGGCGGCACTTGTCCAGAGTCCGCTATTATGAAGGAAGGCATATTCTTCTTCTTTCGTTAATCTCCAAGCGAGGCAAAAAGGAGGCCTGAGCACTCCTTGTCGAAGATGAGCTCCTTTCCTGTCAGTTGAATGTTGAGCTTGTCTGCGCTGTAGACCTCATCGCAGCGAGGCTCCACTCCACAAAACAAAGGGCGTCTCAGAATTTACATCTCCACTTTCGCGAGATGGTGGCAGTACAGATGACGAAATCGGACAGAATGTACTCGGTAGTTACTCATTGACCATACAGGACTTTTTTTGTGAGTCTTGTCGCATCGCATCGACCAGTTTTCGAGCAGTGTTTTATCGATGTGAGCGGCGCTTGCTCGAGTCAAGATTCAACTGTGTTCAAGGACGATGGTCAAGTGCAAGTCTCCAAGGAAAGCGACACTGGGTTTCCTCCGCAGGTGTTCGAGGACCGTTTCTGGTAGATAATCCGGATCTGATGAGAGGCTTGACATGGGTTTGTGGGGAAGACGCCAGTCAGCTATTGACTAGCTACATCCATACATGTGGCTGCGCATCAACTGCTGGAGGACGCGATCACGTGCGGACCTCAACCCGTCGACCCCCTCCGTCCACCAGCCTCGCTCTGTAGATGCTTACAAAAACGACCTTGAAAAACAAAGACAATGTCACACAGGATAGAGACACTAGTCAAGGGAGGATTGTATGCAATATATAATTACAGATTGTGGCCGATTTGGGTTTACGCCAGTCCAAGGCGCCCAGGACTCTACTTGCGTGGAAAGAGGGGGACACAGAAGAACAATATGTGGGAAATATGTGATTGATAGGGAGAAGTCAGATACCCTTGCCGGTCTAGCTTAGCTACAGGACAATCGCTCTGAGAAGCAACGCAGTGGCTGGACACCGCAGCCAGGTCATTTTGCCGACCAGCCATTGACCACCACACCTAGTGCCGAGAGCTCCATGGCTGCTGATCATGTTTGTCACCATCTGCTCGTCGGTGGGATACATATTCGACCTCGCAGTCCCACTTTCTTCCTCATGGATCCAGCTCCCATGCTGCGCAGCAGTTCAGGCTCCAGAACACTGACGAGGCAAATCTCAACCTCGATTACGACGACATATAGAGCAAGTATTGTGGCGCTGAAAGTGATCGACTCGGGGCTGTGCAATTCCAAAGCAGGGGGAATGGGGTGCTTTGTACCAACAGACGCCTTGTCCAAGGGTTCAGCATCTTGCTGGTCGAGAACCACAACCTGCTGGGTCAGATGATGGGAAAGAATCCAGACTCCGGTTGTCTGCAGGGCTCGCCGATCTCTGGTCCGTGATATGTCTCTGACTGGAGAGCCTGCATTTTGTGCCGCCTCTGCTAGGATGGTGGCCAGTCTACGCATAGGTTGGACGCGCTGAGAAATCCCAATCGGCACCACAAACTTCAGATCTCACTCAGGCCGAGAGTCGGGCCTCCGCAACTTCCGCGACCCCCTTTCGTTCCCGTCAATTGAAAATCATGCCTCCACTGACGTGGAAGAGCTGGCCCGTGACGAATTCGGCCTCTGGGCTCGCGATGAAGCTGATCATGTGGGCGACATCTTTCGGCTGACCGTACCGCTTCACGCACTGCTTTTCCATGGCCTTGTCAAATATGGGTTTCGCGTGAGGAGAGCTCCAGGTTGTCTCTGTCATGACGAGGCCTGGAGACACGACATTGGCCGTCACCCCCGGACCGGCCTCGGCAGCGGTAGCCCGTGTAAAAGCAACAAGAGCACTCTTAGATGCCGCGTAGGCCGCCAGGCCAGGTTCCGGGTGTGAAACGGTACCAGAGGCTATGTTGACGATCCGCCCGTAGCCTGCTTTCTGCATGTGTGGAAGCACCGCGCGTGTCAAATAGAAGCAGCTGTCCATGTTGACCATCATGACCTTTTTGTACTCTTGAGTTGATTGCTCCAGGAGGGGGCAAAACGGGTAGATGCCAGCAATGTGCACGAGGACATCGATTCCGCCCAGTGAGGAGACCACTTCGCTGATCATGGAGCTGACTTGTTCTTCCGACGCCAGATTGGCGACCCGATAGGTCACATTCTTGCCTTCAGAGATGAAGCTTGTCTCGACCTTTTTGAGCTGTTGCTCATCCAAGTCTACAAGAACCACATTCGCTCCCTGGTTGGCAAAGAGGGCTGCAGTAGCGTGTCCTATCCCATGCGCTGACCCGGTCACAAGCACCACTTGGTCGGTGTATTTGTCGCCGTAAGTTTTAGATGGTGGTATATTAGCTCCCTGTTGTTCCATGTTGGCTACCACTTCTTCAGGTTTTGAAGGTCAAGTTCCAGCTCGTACTGGGTGATTCGAGAGATTTGCGAGTTCTATTGTGCCACACGTCCTTCTGCAGCGACCTCATATTGCAAAAGTATGCCGCCGTCGGTGACCGAGGACGGAGGATCGTGCTGCTCGTTTGGGTCATCGCCACCTCTTTCGTCATCTCCTGGACATGCATCTGGACCGACAAGTCCCTGTTGCCGTTTATGAAGGCCGCTGAGTCTGGGATTTGTGGATCAAAGGTAGGTACGCGGTACAGAGACACTTTTGGCGGTTAGTCGGCGAAGTGATCTGAGAGGGAGTGTTTGCTTGGCGCAGGATTGTTCGTTATAGCCATGAGTCTTGAGAGAGTCCAGACCCATTCGGGGCTTTTTGTTATTAAGCCATCGACCTCCGGAGGGCTACCTTGGGTGCTTCTAGCAGGGCAATGGCCGCTACTCCAGGTGGAGGAAGCATTGCCGAGCCTCTTCCTCAAATGTTATGTGCTGTTTACTCGGTACTCCCCTGCCGTAGGTCGGGCAGATTCAGCCTCGTCCTCTCAGAGGCCGACCGGACTGATATCCATTTGTACAGATGCATCCTATACATTCTCTTAATAATGGATACAGGAAGCTCCTAAAAGGGCCTTGACATATGCAGCCAAATTGGTTTGATCACCTCGCAGTCATTCATTTCATGCATTTTTACGGCTTACAAAACCTTCAACAAGCCCGAAACTACCGAGTACATTGCCCGCCCCCTACAACTGCTCATTCACAAACAGACCTGCCATGCCCTGCCCCGTGCCGATACACATGCTGGTGACGAGGATCTTCTTCTTGGTCCGTCTGGCCTCGCTCAATATCGTGCAGATCTGTCGTGCTCCCGTGGCGCCCAAGGGGTGACCCAGGGCAATGGCGCCACCGCGGGGATTCATCTTCTCGTGCTCGAGGCCGAGTGTGTTGAGACAGTAGACGGCCATCGAGGCAAATGCCTCGTTGATCTCGAAGATGTCAATGTCGTCCTTTGTCAGGTGGAATTTGTTGAGCAGTTTGGGGATGGCGGCCGTGGGTCCGATACCCATAATCCGTGGGGGAACGCCAGCGACGGTGGCGCCGCAGAATTTGGCCATGATGGGTTGACCGAGTTCGAGAGCTTTGGAGCGTTTCATGAGCAGGATCGCAGCAGCTATTTTTGGTTCCAGATCACGTCAGTCTCTAATTCATTCTCCCATCCTATCGTAGGGATATAAAACGTGGGAAGTGCTTACCTCCATCGGTGACCTGACTGGCATTTCCACCGGAGGTCTTGTCGCCGAATTGCGGCATGGCGGGACGAATCTTCAACAGACTGTCGAGCGTGGTGCCGTATCTAGGACCCTCGTCCTTGGTCAGGGTGATCTCACGGATTTCTCCCGTCTTGGGGTCCTTGACCTTTGTGGTGATGGGCACGATCTCATCCTCGAACCAGCCGGCCTTCTGGGCGACCTCAGCCCTCCGGAAACTCTCGCAGGCGTACTCGTCCTGCATTCTGCGCGAGATGTTGAAGTCATTGCCGACGTTTTCCGACGTCTGGATCATAGGCTGTGTGCAGTCGGCAGCTTCCTGGTTCGCCATGATCTCCGGGGAGAAGGGAGTGTCCTTGCCGGCGGCGTTGCTCATGGACTCACCGCCCATGGCAATGCCGATGTCGATCGACCCATTGGAGATCTGGTTGGCGATGTCCTGCACGGCCTTGAGACCCGAGGAGCAGAACCGGTTGACGCTCGAGGCGGCGGCGGTATGGGGGAATCCTGCGGCCAACATGGCAGCACGGACCTTGTATGCAGCGCGCGGGTCGCCGACCTGTGCATCACCAAGACGGTGTCAGCTTTCTACTCTTCTTCTGTTCGCCCATTTCCCAGATTTCTCCTGGGTTGTCATATCTTACATTTCCCAAGCAGATATCCTCGACAATGGCAGGGTCGATTTTGCTCTTCGCGACGACTTCCTTCAGCAGCGCCCAGACAATATAGTCGAGGTCGGTGTCCTTGAAGCCGCCCTTCTTGCCCTTTGCGAGGGGTGTCCGGATGGCGAGGGTGATGACAATGTCATCGGGGTTCTTCTGGGTGCTGCATGTTGACAAAAGCGCCACTGTCAGCGACTGCACAATCAGAGAAGCTACACAGGTAGCTCCGGAGCTGAGTTGGGTTGGACTGGACTGGACTGGACTGGACTGGACTTACATAGCAGCCACACCGGTCTTTGAGGAGGAGAGGTGCGAGAAGATGGAACCGAGTCTCTGTGTCGCCATTGTGATTTTCTTGCTCTGTATATACAGCTACAGGAGCAGTTTTCAGTTATGGAAGAGCAAGTAAGGAAGAATATGGGGAGGAGGAAGAAGAAAAGGGAAAGAAGATGACAAAAAAAGGTGACTTGACTGATTTGATGATTATGATCCCCAACTTTCAACTTGTCCTCCTTGCTACTCTTGACATTTATCGCCGGTGGACGATGTTTGCCCCAGATTATCGCCGCCACTTGACAACTTGAACCTCGGCATCTTGCTTCGATTATTTACTACTTGGGCCCTCCTAGACTCTTTGTCTGTTGTTAGCCCCGGGGGTGTCGGGAAGGCGTAGTGGGCATTATACATGCCTAACATCGCCTAGGGGCTGTTTGTCCTGTATCTACGAGTACGAGGACCTTACCAGTCACCTCGTATCCCGTAGGTACCTGCCGAGTACTTGTAGTTGCTCGTACTGGTAACCCATCGTTGCCTGCCGCTTTATCCACACCACTCCGACCTCTCAAGATCCGGTGGAATCGGGACTCCGGTCTGATCACAAATCTCAAACACCTACCACCACAGCACCACCACCACTCACAAAGCGTACTGTCAAGACGTTTGTACTGCAGACCTTCGTGCGTAAGAAGCGTAAGAAGCCGGGACAAGGGCGGCCACCGGTGCTGCCGAAGTCAACCCCTCCGTAGATACCATGTGTACCTTGGTTAATTACTTCCTTTACTCTTCTCTGGCTACTGCTCGGCAATATGCCCCTCTCTCTCTCTCTCTCTCTCTCTCTCTCTCTCTGTGCAGAAACTTCCATTTCATGTCTTCGGTATGGTTTCTCATTGGTCAATCTATCGTTTCCTATTTCATTCTAGTTTTGCAGATGTTCTTCATGGGAAAGAAAAAGAGGACAACCTCTGGCAAAACGAGACACATCCCCAGTTGATCACGCTGTCTAGTATTGGTATTGACTCGCCCTGAGGCTTTCTTGCTTCCCCAACGCCTGAAAAGAAGATCGTTTTCCCATTCGCTATGCATGACACGTTCCACGTACGTCCGTCCATCCCTCATAAAAGCCGGTGGTCCAGGGTCCATTGCCCGTAGACGTGGATGGGCTACCCCATCTATGATTAACCCGCGTCCAAGTCGCGTGGGAAGACAAGATGCTGTATTCCGCCCAGAATCGGTCCGACATTCTATTTCTCCTCGACGCTGTCGGGCTTGATGGCCTCGCCGTCTGCATCCTTCATCTCGGTATCTTTGGGCTCGTCCGGTGGTGCATCCGCCCCTTTCTTGGCCTCCTCTTCCGCCTTCTTCTTGGCTTCAGCCTCTGCTCTCTTTTTAGCCGCCTCCTCCTCTTGCGCTTTGAGAATTGCTTGTCGCTCCTCTTCGACCTTGTCTTGGTAGCGTTGGATCACGGGACCTGCAACGAATCGGATCTCGTCCATCTTGGCCACATACTGTGCCTTGGTGGCATCATCACCTTCATCATACAACCAATCCTAGCAGAAGTTAGCCACAAGTTTCGGCTTCACAACGAAGCGCACCGGGGGAAATGCTTACCTCTGTCTGCTCCAGCTTCTCTCGGATCTTGTCCTTCTCTTCCTGGCTGGCAAAGTCGGCGTATTGTTCTTCGATCTTGCCCCGGAGCTCATAGATGAATGCCTCCAGCTCGTTCTTCTTGTCTTCAGTATCTGTCACGAGCTTGTCTTCCATGTACATGGCATTTTCTAATTCACCAAGTTGAGTCTTGGCTGCCTCATCCAGTGACGCAGTTCCTGCGACCAGCTGCAGCTCGCCTTTGCGCACTTGCTTCTTGACCTTACGCATCTTAGGCTTGGCCTGTTCGGCAGAGCCGTTGGGTTGATCGGTCTCCATGGCGTCGCCGTCTTTCTTTGCTTCCGGCTCAGGTTCCTCCACTTCGACATCCTCCACGTAGTAACCGCTTTCGAGGTTGAGGATGCCGTGCAGGTTCAGCCGCGCCTTGAGTTTGCATACCATGAAATCGTCCTTTTCGTCAGCCTTGACTCCTTTGACGGAGAAGCGCCCGATCCAGGGGTTGATCTTTCCGGGAAGCAATTCCGGCTTGGCGTACCGAGCTTCCAGATCGAAGGGCTGTTTGCGGTAGAAGGTTAGGATCTTGGTAGAGGGCATGACATTGCCCTTGTTAAAGACGGTCAAGCTCGTATCTTCATCCGGAATATCCGGTGATTGCTCCCAGGTGAACTCGATGGGGTAGGTGACGATGTCGTGGACCGAGAAGTCTCGGACACGGAAGACAGGTGAGAGGATGGCGCAACTGAATGCGCAGCCCCGAGCGATAGCTTCGTCCTGATTGAGAGTGAAGGAGAGAGGCTTGCCAAAGAATTTGCTGATTCGGTCCTTGATGGACGGAACGCGAGTGCACCCACCCACCATCTCAATGGCATCGATATCTTCAACCTTTACCTTGGCTTCGGCCAGGGCCTGTTCAAGCGGGGCAGTAACTCGATCGAGAAGTGGCTTAATCAATTCCTCCAGTTCGTCACGCTTCAACATGGCTCGGACATCCTTGTCATCCATCAGAGACTCGATACTGAGAGGGGCCTGGGCATTGGCGGAAAGGATCTTCTTCAGCTTCTCGGCAGCCGCGGCGACACGGGTGATGGCCTTTGGATTGCTGGTGATGTCGAGCTTGAACTTCTCTTTGAATTCCGCCGCAAAATGGTCTACGAGGGCTTTGTCGATGTTGCGTCCACCGAAATGCCGGTCAAAGGTGGTGGCCTTGACAGCCAGCTCACCCTTGCGGAATTCGACAATGGAGCAGGTGTAGTCGCTGTAGCCAATGTCCACAAAGCACACTCGACGTGGCTTAGCCTCACCGTCGGGAAGGTCGGATTTGGTGATACCGTAACCCAGGGCGATGGCCGTATTGTCGTTGATGAGGCGGAGGAGTTTGAGGTTGGCAATCTCGGCGGCATCGAGCATGGCTCTTCGCTGGGTATCGGTGAACCATGGCGGGCAGCTGATGACCACGTCCGAGACGGGAAGTTTTAGTTCCTTGCTGGCCGTGTCTCTGATCTTCCCCAAATACATGGCAATCAATTGGACGGCCGTGAATTTTTGCTTCTCCCCGCGGTATGTGACTTCGGCTCCCACCTGGCCATTGACGTCCACCAAAGGTGCAGTAATGTACTGCTGCTCGATGGCGATCTCAGGGTCATTTATGGTTCGGCCGGCGAGGCGTTTCAGCGACGAGATGGTGTTTTTGAGATTCGAGATTTCCTGGGTCTTTGCGGCTTCACCCAGGTATCGACTCTTCGGACCAAAGCCAACCAAGGATCTAAAAGGGCGGACGTCAGTTCCAGCAGTCACCTTCACGGTAAGGCTAGATCAAGGTTACTTACGGTGTAGATCGGTTCGACGTCTCATTTGTGATCTGGTGAGCAGGCGAGTTAGCTATTTGTGTTTACAATTTGAGACTGGTCTTCTCTTGAACAGGGAAAAGGACAAGAACTTACAATGTCGATACCTTTGTTGCGCGCGACACCAATCTTGGTGCTCTGGGCTCCAAAGTCAACGCCGACGACGCTCATTGTCAATGGCGCCTCAATTCAAAGTAGAAGGAGGGGAAAAAAGGTTTCTCGAGGTATTTGTGTTGGTTGCGGTGATGTGATGGGACAGATTTTGAGAAGAGGAAGTGAAATCGTGGGAGACGAAACAGGTGGTAGAATTAAGCAAAGAAGAGGGATGGTGATAAAGCCACTGTCTTCTTTCAACAGAAAGACGGCAACAGCAATTGACTTGGAGGACAGATACAAATCAGACCAAAAATTTCACCCGCCCAAAGGGACCATTTTTCGCAAAGGGCCAAACAGCAGCCTGCCTTGTCCAGCCGCCAACCGCCTCCCGCCGTCCAGCCAACGACGAGCCAGTGAGCCAGGAGCACCAGTAGCTTCGCGCAGCTCGATGGTTGTCTTTTTCCCTTGCAGCCAAGCCCGCGGACGTCACTCTCCCACCCGCCCCTGGTGCCGCAGCCCACAACCACCGCATCTGGCAATCTGGCATCTGGCATCTGGCCCGCCATTTGCCATTTTGCACACAAACTGCGCCCACCGCAGCCACCAGCAGCCTCTAGCAAACACGGTCCAGCAATCCTTGGCCGGGGCCTGGTGAGGCTGGCTCAACGGGCAACGCCTTGTCCATTGTCTCCCAACCCAACCCCGGCTTCCTTCAAATCACCCTCAGACACGACATCCGCTGGGCAGCAATTACGCTTTACCATGACTTCATCTCCGAGATAAACCCAACTCCCAGATCGATAAAATGAGGCGTCAGTCAGTCAGCGTATCCCCTCAATCCCGACACATGGTGGCGTGAGGTGGAAAACATCAAGGATGCTTGTGGTAGTGTGTGGGGCGCATGAACAATAATACATTTGCTAATGTTTACCTACTTGTTATACATATACGGAGTACAAACGTCCTCCGTCCTGGATTAAGAGATAATGATGTGAAACATCTTGTCTTGTTTCCTCTCTCCATAAGGCCGCCATTGCCGTGGATTACACCATTCTCCCTGGACTTGGACTTCTCTTCCGTAACCGCTGCTTTTTCAACGACTGTCGCTTGACCTTTCCTATGTCCTCCATGTCCTCTTTTCCGTCCATACCAGAGAAATCTTCTTCCACAGAAGCAGCCATCATGGGACTGTTTCGCCCCAGGGGACTTCGGCTGTCACTCTCGTGGTTTCTCGCCGCTTCTTGCCGACTGTCGCCGTGTTCTGCAAACGTGAACATGTCTCTCGAACCTTGCAAGACTGGGATAACTCCTGCCGTGTTACGTGTTGCCAAGTGACCTTCTCCCAGGAATCGCCGAGTGTCTGCGACCATGCTCCTCGGTCTTGACTCCATATCAACTGCTCGACTTGGCCGATGCCTTTTCTCATTGTCTTCGCTGAAGCTATTGATCCATTTAGGCGTGTGTACCGACAAACTATCCGAATCGCTCATGTCAAGAGATTCATGCTCGTATCGATGTTGCTGTGTGTTGAAATTGACATGCGATGGTGTGGGTGAGGCCATTTCATGGTCCGGCATCGGTCCAGGCTCTTGCTCTGCAGAAAAGAAGCGGCCCTCGACGCTGGACGACGGCTGGAGTGCTGAAGGTCGGGTGCGGCGCCGACGGAATTCAATAGCGGGCTTAAAGGTTTCTGGAACAATATTCAAATCGTCTCCGGTGGCGATGGCATGTTCGATTGCCTGTTGGGGTGTTACCTTTGCGTCTGCTGCTCCTGCATCTGCCCTCGGCCCGCCCCAAGTTCTTTGGCCTGCAGTGAAGACACCATACACCATATAAACCCAGTTCAAGAACGGGTTGAGCATAAACATCATCGGATACAGAGCAGCTTTCCAGCGGTGCAGCCTGATGGCAAAGTAAAACATAAGCAACCAGTTCAAGCCGCACGAGATGCACATGAACTCCCAGGGCAACGAGTCCACCCGTGTGGAAGTGCTTGATATCGCGATAATGGTGATCAACAGAAGGAGGGCCGTCGTTCGAATGCTAACAGTGGCAAAGCGAAGAAAGCAGAGCATGGGATACTTCCTCCACAGACGGCCGTCTGTCAACATGCAAACTTCATTGGTGATAAACCCTAGAAACCACCGACGCCTCTGCTTGAGTAGAGATCGAAATGTTTGGACCGCCTCGGTTTTGCAAAAGGCGCTGGTACTCAATTGGATCTGATACCGCTGTTTGGCACCGAGCATGAACAAATGTGTTAGCCACCGGTCTTCGCCGAGATGTGTTTTGGCGTAGTCAAAGAGATCCTCGCACTCTTCCGCCTTGTCCGAGAAATAGAACCGTGCCATGTTTCGAAAGGCCGAAAATCGAAGCAGAGTCAGGGCTCCCGGCAGACATGTAACGGCTCCACAACCTGATTCAACAGATCTTTCAAACAGCTGCCCGTGAACATACTCCATGTCCTGCAGCAAGGTGATGAACGAATGCTTCTTTGTGGAAGACGTGATAATACCAGTCATCGCCAGCATATTGTGTTTACTCCCGGGTCTGAGTTCCATGTCGTACATAAAGTTCTGTATGCACACAGGATCCAGGATGCAGTCCGAGTCGATGAACAGAATGAAGAGGTCGTCCTTCTCCTGAAGGTATCGTTTGTAGATCTTGTCGATGAGGAGAAAGGTCGCCTTCTGACAATGTCGCTTGCCCCCGTGGGGGAACCTCGACACGGTGACTCGGGCCCCATTATACGCCACATCAATGGATTTGGGAAAGTCCTTCAATGTAACTGGCACGCCTAGTCGATCGATTGTCTTCAGGTAAAGCTCGTCAATGTCGTCTCCGTCGAAAGAGACAAACACGTGGATGCACGCAGCAGGGTAGTCGCAGCTGACTACCGAATTCAGTGCTGTCCACAGAGAGTCCGGTGGCTCCTTGTAGACCGGCATGACCACGACCACCTTTGGGGCGGTCTGCTCATTGAGAGTATATTTGACCCGCTTTTGCCGTCCAAGAGGGACAACAACTAGTTGATAGACGCAGAAGAGCCAGGGGATCACAAGCATGGCTGCAAAGGAGTAAAATGCAAACTCCTGGAGGATGGAAGTCATCAGAGTAGGGAAATATTGTGTGAGATGCTGTGGTAGAGGCAGCGTCGCAATCATCACCGGCAAGAATATCCCCCTGTGTACGATCATTAGCATTATATGCTCTCGAGGAAAACAGCAACTGACTTGCCGGAGGAGGGTGAACGCCACCATCAGGAGCACAGCCAACACCTTTTGCGACCAGTGATCTGCCTTCATATATGCCTTTGCAAGGCAATAACAAAACGCTGCTACCCACAAAAACGATTCGAGAAAGGCTGCGAGAATGATGGGACCAATGAAGGCAAGGGAAATAATCTATACCATTAGCAAGAAGTCATCGCTGTGTGGCACGAACGTTCTCACTTCGGGTAACGTCCAGGGCCCACTGAGAGATTCATGCTCGGCCATATTCACTTGCGTCGGTGACACACCATCCAAAACCAGCAGACGCTGAAAGGAGCCTTGATCCGCAAAATTGCTTTTCTGTTGAGAGTGGTGGCGGATATGCTTCAGCAAAGAGCACTTGATCAAGGTAGTGTGCAAGAAGTGATCACGACGTCGGGATATCAGAGTTGTCGAAAGTTTCAAGGTCTCAAGTGATGGACGAGAGGACCAAAGGGAATGAGCGATAGACTCTTGGATTTCGGCGTATGAAGTGACAGCCGTGAAAGCAACCTGGGAGCATCAAAAGGGAGTTTCTGGGTTCTCGCAAGGAGAGAAAAGTGATGGACCTTTGGATCAGAGAATGATATTCAATTCATGAAGATACTGAAACGGTGGCATGCAGGCCGTCGCCAGAAAAGTACTATGAGTCGGAGTGCGCTGGATAAAGTCGAGCAATGAGAGGACAAGCCAGTAAAGAAGATGATAATGAGGAAGCAAAGGCCAGAGAAGGGGAAATAAGAAGAGGCAGTTGCGTCCACAGTGCCAGCTTCCGCACATCCGGCTGGCAAGGTGGTGATTTCCAGTTCGACCATGCTGGTGAAGGACGGATGCCCAAGCAAAGCGTAGGAGAAGCAGTGGCATATGCACGATGGCAGCTTGCAGTTTGTGGCCCACAAAAGGGAAGGAGACGTTGTCACAATGAGACGAAGTAAAACGATGCTCAGAGATGGAACGTACTAGGAGCGCAGTTAGAAGAGAGAGACAGGTTCGTGGTCACCGTATATCATCCATCTCTTGAGCAACGTTTCACCAGCATCCAACAAAGTGATATGCTCATATAAGAACCAATAACCAGACTCCAAAGCCACACCTTCCAGCCCAGTGCCTTCTACAGCCGCAACCTGGGTGTATTTACAAGTGGAAATCCCCGCTAACGGTGCTGTCAACGTCGGTCCAAGCGCTTGAGGGAGTACGTATCCCATCTGCAAAGTCGCTGAGGATGTCATCAGAACTGTCTTCTGCCTCACTGGCGTTGATATGACCTGCACTATCAGCAATGCTGGGCGTCACGGAGGCTGGGGGTGTTGCATCCAGAGGGGCTGCACCAATGACAAAAGTTCGAGATGCATCTAAATATGTGCTCTGGACCGGGAGGGATACTTGCGACTCATGTTCGGAAAGAGTATGCGACGAGACCGAATCTGCCACAGAGAAATACTCTGATCGATCTAGTGGGCGGCGAAGGTAATCGGCAGACGGAATAGAGAAGTCCGGATCAGGAGCACTTTCCGTCGTGGGTGTAAGCTCAAGCAGGCTTTCTGAAGCATGGCTGGACAGGATTTCCACTGGTCGTTCAGTCAAAGGTAGATTCCATGCTTCGCGCACCTCCCGCTCGTATCTTGACTCGAATGGATCTGGAGGAGTTTCATCGAGCTCCCTCGCAGAAACGGGGCGGGCGGTCGACAGATGCAGAGCGGGGGGTTGCTGATCTCGTTGCAAAGGGACGAGTCTCTGCCGTAGAGTGGCGGACTGCGCTGAGGGTTCGGCGCCAGAGAAGTGTGTTGCTGGGGCTGTTTGTTCATCTTGTGCCGGTTGCAGTAGAATACCATTCTGGTCCACCAGAGTATCAAAAGTCGGGCTAGACGGTGCTTCCTTCTCTTGATCCGTGAGCCTTCTTCTCTTCCTCCTCTCTTCCATGATCCGTCCTCGCTCCATGATCTCAGCGATTGCTTGACGTCGACGCTCCTCGGCCAGTTCGCCCTTCTCTTCATGCATCGAGACGTCTGTCGAAGTGCGTCGAGGACGGGGTCTCGGGCCAATCTCGTCGCCGAGGGAGTGCAGGCCCATGGCTATCCTGTGCCTTGTCCGCTCTATCCATGCTCGCACTTGAGGGTTCTCATATGCCGCTATACTGGCTGCCACCAGAACAGAGACAGTGATGATAATTCCTATCGGAGGCATGGTCGGTTAGTGTTGCCCACGAGCCACAAGAGAAATGAGCATGAGGAAACCTTTGACAACCCTCAAACATGATCGTATGAGCCGTTGGCAGATGATGTAAGGGGAGGATGGCGGTATGCAACGAGGCACGGGGACACTCACCCTTGGCTAGCGGAGCTGGCATTTTGAAAATAAACCTGAGGGTATTTCTCTGAATAGAGAGTTCTCGGAGTGGAAGAGAGAGAGGAAGGGTGCAGGCGGAAGGTCGCCGTGGTTGAAGACAACCTCGGGGGTGTCCAGGGATATCTTGAAAACGGGTCAGCCTGATTGTACCAGCGTCAAGGATCATACGAGGCACACAGGTGAGGCGGTAGCGGTTCGGAAGGAGGGAGGAAGAGGGAACTGGGCTGCGCCACCCACGCCATTTTTGGAGAACGACGAGGCATCAATATTACTGCCACCAGCTGCTACTGTACGTGCCCCGCATGGCTGTTTGGTGGGACTTGGTTGGCAGCGTGGGAGCCTTGGATCCAGCCTCGGCGCGTCCATATCGACACATCGGGCTTCACGCGACTCCAAATTGAGATCCGTGGGAAGTTATACACTGCATAACCAACAACACACCTCAACGACAACGCATGACAGAATGTCTCGAGCAAGTTCCGCTGCTCAGCCAAGGGCCTTGACATTGACCGAAGAGCTCGAGAAACTCGAACAGTCCATCACATTAACACTGCAAGGTTAGCTTAGACCAGAAGCATGTTTCATTCGCGCACATCCATTGACTCGTACACGTTGCAGAAATCGATCACAACTTCAGTCGAGCACACCGCATAGTGACGTCGAGCATTCTGCCCATAGTCGAACAATATGCCACACATTCAAAGGAGGTCTGGGAGGGGTCAAGAGTGAGACACACTCACATTTGGGAAGAGACAATGCTGAGACCAAACGCAGTTCTGGAAACAATTTTTTGAATCGAGCGCCAATGTGTCCCTGTCAGGCTACGAAGAGCAACAGTCTCACCTGGAACATACAGACACCACAGTGACCGAAGACACCCATACTACCACACAGAGCACCTTGGAGACGTCGCAGTCGTACGAAACTCCTTCGGCGCAACACATCTCCACAGACTCAATCCAGGACTTGGACCTCTCCAACATGACCATCTCGCCCTCCAGGAGCAGCACACCGCGACCGAATATCACGCAAAAGTTTCAAAAGCAAAGCAATGCTACCTTTGCAGACTACCCATCGCCTTACGAGGCCCTGCGACAAGAAGTCCACAGCACGGTTGTCGACAACACGTCCCTGACCCAACCGACCATGCCCGAAACCCCTGGCGGCCGACCAGTATTTGCCACGGACAAGATTGCCGTAGAGACTCCCCAGTCCTCGCCGTTCCTCCCTCCACGACCGACCTCGATCCCACGCCCATCGACTGCCCGCAAACGGACGGATCCTCTGCTGCACCGCATTCTCGACCGAAATTACCGCGTCCAAGCTACACCGCTCACAAGTGAGCATTATGCAAATTGGCCATCGACAACTCGTGGAACCCCCTCGACTACGAGACATGCTCGATCTGCCACACTAGGCAACTCGACTCTCTCGTCGAGCCCAGAGGCGCCTCCACCCGAGCTCCACCCGGAGATATTCTCCTCGCCCGAACGCAGGAGACCAATTCCCGGAGTCAGTGTTCTGACACCGTCACGGGCACGATCCAAATCCCAGCCCTTGAAGGCACCCGCCCGGACACCGGGGGTCTGGGACAGTGACGATGACGATCTCGACGACGACATTCTCTTCGACCAGTCCCCACCTAAGACCATGCAGTTCCACGTCCCCCAGAATCGCCTGTTGAGGACTCCAGCCAAAGAAGCGTCGAAGCGGATAGTCGAGGACATTCTGACCAATGCCGGGATAGATTACGGGGAGGAAGAACTCGATTTCACACAGGACATTGAGACCGAGGGGTTCGAAATGGATGGCGATGGGGAGCCGACCAGTCCGAGTGTTGTTCGTAGAGCCATGAACATCGAGGATGAGACATTTTGACGTAATGTGACATGACACGGGAGAGGCGAAAGATGCGGTCGATCTGCCCGAGTACGCGCCCATGAGGCGAATATATACTGTCTTCAAACACGATGCGAACCATATACAAGAACAAGTTATCATGGAAAAGATCATCCAACGCTCGTTGACAGACAGATCGTGATGCCGTCGCGCGGTATACCTGGTATTTTGCTCGCTCCTCACTCATCCATACCCCAGGGTCACGATATTCATTCATTCATTTATCTTTCCATCCCTCCCTGCATAATTTCATCCGTCTTGAGTACCGTGCTTAGTCGATCATCAAAGCCAGGATAGCCTGGTGTGTAGTAGCCCATCGCACCCATGTAACTGACTGACCGACTAACTGACTGACTGGCTACCTATCTGATCGACTACCCAAATGTCCAGTATTAGATTCCTATCTAGATATCTACGTAAGTATCTAGATGTATCATTAGTCAGCTTCGTTTGATTTCCCTTCCTTTCCTTTCGCTTCCTTTCGAGCAGCAACAACCGCAACAACAAACAGAAACTCGACACACATGTCACATGGTTACCTATTTTAGAGACGTGAGATCCAGCATCTT